TATATTGCGTAATAAAAAAAGTTACGGAACATAAAGAAGTCAATAGTATTTAATAAAACGCTTAGATCTATTTACTTGTAATGGCTAGGCTCTATCTTATTGCGTTTAGTGCTTATATTATAGATTGAAAATAAAACTTAAAGAGACATCTCAGGCTAGGAGGACACTATTTAGTAAACTAACGAAATATTTATGTATTTCGTAATTTTTTTTCTATTTATATAGAAAAATAATATTTCTAACTTAATTACTTTGTTTAATGATAGTGACCGGATTAGATATTATTTAATTCAGGGGTTCCCAAACTTTTACAATAAGGGCAAATAAACTTACGCTCACCAGATGTCGCTAGTCGACATTGAGGTGAAGTTTTATGTTGCACAATGTCATTTAATTGATAATTTAGTTCTTAATAAAAGTTTATCAGTTTCTAGAGTATTATATTAATACACAAAATAATGCCTCTGTGGTTTGTTCTTTGTTTGAACATTTTTAACATTTTTTTTTGATTTTTCTATTTTTATGAATATTTATTTATTTTTAATTTAATAAATACAAAATATAACTAATGGTACAGAAAGAAACATTAACCTTTACAATTTTCGAACAAATTAACTTCCCCACTATGAAATCTGTCAAATATTACACCTCATTTTAAGGGGCCCCGCTCTGGTGGCAGAAAAAGTTGTGAATGATTGTTAGTGAAAAGAAAGATAGTTTTCTTAAAAATACAATGAAAACTTAGTCAATGTGACCTTGATGATATCTACAAATTTTTTCAAAGCGTGGGCTAACGCTTGACACCGCTATTCTTCTTTTTTGACTTTAATCTTTGAACGATATTTGCTTTTTATTATAGCTACAATCGAAAATCTGGTTTATTTTGTACTCGCAAATACAAGTTTAGTTATCCGTAAATGGTGAACAGAAGCGTCTCACGACGCCCCTTTTTACTCTATGTGGGGCACCCAGGGCGCCGCGGCGAAAGATTTGGGAACCCCTGATTTAATTAATTTATAAAATGCACGCGTCTATTTAGACAATAAATACATTAAATAGATTGAAGAAAATTAAGTTATAAAACATTTCTTGGTTTCACAAATTACATACAGAAAAGGAGTAATAACGTTAAAAAATAGGGGTTGAAAAATGATTGCACGGCTGAAAATACCCACTTTTATTTAAACTTCGAAATGCGTTAGAACTTTAGCGCACTAAATGTGAAGTTGTGTCAAACACATCAGCTCGTAGTAAAGTAGCAACTTAGACCAACAAACAAAAAATACAGACGCGTCAAGTGACGCAGAAAACCTTAAACTTATTGCACGAACACGCACTCACGTATATACGCACCTAAAACCGTGCAACCAGCAAATGGTTTTTAGGTGTATATTATGTATGCTTGAGTGAGTGTTCTTGCAACATGATGAGCATACAAATATGCTGAGCATAGTTTCTGCGTTACATGAAATGTTAAAGTAATGTACTTTTATTTGTTGATCTGTGGGTAGCGTACACAAGATATTTGTAGGAATTACTGTAGGCAAAGTGAACGAGAATGCGGAAGCTTTATACAAGAGTTGTATACAACGCACGATTTTATACTTGGTAGATCCACTCTCCAGTTACCTATATTACGGTTGTTGCACGAATGGGTCGGCTCGACCAGGGTAGAACAACGCTCTCACAGAATACCAGCGTGAAATAGCAGCTTAGTGCTGCTGTGTTTCGTATGTTAAATGTGGAAAACCGAAGATTCTTTTTATTGGAAACGAGGCATTCCATTTTATCCTTAGGGTTATAACTTGAGGATAGATGTAGATAGTTTACAGCATCACTTACTAAGTGGGCTGTGTGCTCGTTGTCACCCTTATTCTATAAAAAAAGAACACAAAGGTGCGGTAAGCTTACAGTAGCATACAGAGAAATCACGTAATTTTCTTTGTGTGCTACTGTACGTGAACGCAGCGCTAGTGTGCGTGTTTTGCGACACGCACATATTAATCTACCGGACTCTCGTTCACTTTGCTATTATAGGATTACACCTTAATTAGTTTTAAACGTAAAACACTAATACTAATGATACTTTTTATTATCTTTTCACTCAGATTTAATACGGTATACGTCAACGTAAAAACATTCAAAAAATTCGTAACGTCTAAATTCCATGCGACATAAGCAAAGGTTCGAAAGGGCAATTACAAACACTATCTTTCTCTTTCTAAAAAAACACGTACTCTCTAGTAATTCTTTCAGACTACAAAATACCTTTCCATTCAAACTCGTCGCACTTCCTCAGTCTTCATTTAACCTTTGACTAGGCATTTTTTCCCAAAATATTGTTTTCGCTATATTTATACATACTACATATCTTATTCTGTAAGAAAATTACTCAAATTACTCAAATTAATTTACACGACCACGCATAGTGAAACACTGTTCAATAAGAGATAGATATTACATTTATTAATCACATAACCGTGTAGTGGCGGTGTAAGAATGCCCACAGCCCATAACGTCCCATGGGTGTTGTGAGAGGCAAACGAGCTAAACAAACCAGGTGATGGGGAACACTGCCTTCCACAATCAGAAAATAAAATGCGGTTGCTCCATCCAAATTGCAACTGTAACTATGACAAATATCCCTCCCATTTGAGTCAACCTTACGCGGTAGAGCCACGCTGCAGCTATATTATAGTTGTAGCACAAATGGGTCGGCTCAATCGGGGAAGGACCACGCTCTCACAGAATACCAGCGTAAAATAGCGGATCAATGCCGCTGTTTCGTGCGGTGAGAGTAGAGAACCGGAGAATCTTTTTACTGGAAATGAGACATTCCATCATAGTCGTCAAGGGTGACTATGGTATTTAATACAGTATCCACTTAACATCAGGTGGACTTTATATTCGTTTGTAACCCTTATTTCTATAAAAAAAATTATGTGGGAGGAGGTCTATGTTTAGCAGTCGACTTTACGATAGGCTGAAACAAAAATAGTAATGAATAAAAAAGAAAAATGATGGCAACTAACATGGATGGTACCATTCCTCGAGTTTCCAAACTTGGATGAAAATTTGTGTTCAGTCTTTAGAGCATGTTATGGTATACGTAGTAATTAATGATGGTAGCAACTACCCAATTGTACAATTTCTCTAACACTCTTAATCCAACCATAAACAAAACAGTCAGTCACGGCAATTTCATTCCTATCAATGGAAGATAAAGTTGTATTTCGCCTAACTCGGCGGAAGCAGAGCTTTCATTATTGCCTAAAACTAAATCTAAATTGGAAAAATATTACATTTAATAGATACATTTGGCTATAATTGTGTATGCTTGTTTATTATCATAAATACAATAATTTCATATACTTAAGAAGTAATATTATACTTATAATTATGGGATGCACCCAAATTTGTCTAGCGGATTTCATTATTGATAATTAATATGATACAATATACACAATACACAAAGTACCTCTTTATAATTGCATTTATTATATATATAGAAAACCTTACAATAACGTAATATATGTAAAATGATCACTCATTGTTTTTTACATTTAAATTATTTTTAGATTTTTTTTTATTATGTCATAGGCACTTGTAAAGTAAGCAAAGGACTGTCGAAAACGTAAACAAAAGTAATCAATTATCTTATTTAATAACATTAATTATAATACAGCGTTCTTTTAAACTACCTTCTTCATTGCGACCGAATAAGAAAGCATCTTAAATGTTAATTTACAATGTTATAAATGCAAGCAATTTATGATTATAAGCACATACAATTATAAAAAATGACAATGTTGTAAAACAATTGTTGACCGTATGAGGAAACTTAGTTCAGCGTGTGATTGAAAGGACTATGCGCGGAATTTCTCAGCGGGGTAAAGTCCGTAATAAGGATATCCGCAGAAGAATAAGAGATACATAACCTAGCAGATCAGTAAGCTAGAAGAACCGACAACCAATGGGGAAGAAAGTTTTCCGAGTGGCAACTTTCTACAGTAAAGCAAAGTGTCGAGCGATCCCCCAGTAGATGGAATAACGATTGATGGCCTGATGAAACACGCAGGTCAGCGTTGCATGCAGGTGGCACAGGACCGTACTATGACGTTTATGGAGGAGGCTTAACTTTTTTTATAGGAGAGGTGGCAAACGAGCATACGGCTCACCTGATGGTAAGTGATGACCGTCGCCCATGAACGGCTGCAACACCAGGGAGATTGCAGATGCGTTGCCGGCCTTTTAAAAAGGAATAAGCTCTTTTTAACTTCAATAGTGGACTCATGCTGGACTGTAGTGACAGTGATTGTTAAAAAAGGAGCGAAAAAAAAAATAACGCCACAATAAAAAAATCTTGGAATTGGGTATTAAGGTTTACTTAAAATCTTTTTGTTTTGAATCTTACTTTTTAAAACGCAAGTTAGAAAAAAAATCTAATGTCAACCTTATTTTTCATTTGTGTACAGTTCAATGAAAAGTTTGAAAACGGTTAACTTTTTTTGTTAAGCATGTTTCAATATCGTTTAGCTTTTTAGTAGAAATAGTATGTACTAGTATGTTATTAATGTTTTTTTTTTCAATCATTGTGGCTCATTTAGTAGGAATTAAAATCTTTATGCCTTATCGTAGTATGTGTCATACGAAATATTACAAGTGCAAGTCAAATCAGTGATTTGAGTTGTAAAGAAGTAATGAATATATGTATAAATAAAATAATGATTTTTGTGTTATACGTTACGTACAAGAATGGCATTATTTTGACTATATGGTCGGAGTTGTATGAAGGGAAAATTAATATATTTTGAATTAAGCAGATAAAAACTTTGGTTAAGAATAAGTGCACTAGAAATATTGTGGGTTATAGAAGAAATAATGTGGGTCAAAGCTCAAAGACTAATGTGAGAGGTCAGAGCGTTCTTTCTTGAGTCACGGTGCGTCACAGATCAGTGTAGGCGTCGGCGACGCCGGTACACAGGCTTTCTCGTCGGCCGCTAGAATGATCGAGCAAGGAACACTCTTCCCTCTTCGCGAACTATTTCCACGAATCCCAGCTTACTGTAGAACTGGTGCAGGTATTGGTCCGTTGTGTTGATACACGCGTGGACGCCATTTACTCCTGTTACATGTATAGATAAAATTTAAAATATATTTAGGTATCTATAGAATAAGTTTAGTTCGTTCAATTTTAAGTGACATTTATAATTGCTTTCTGCTTCGTACTTTTTGTTTATTTATTTGCTTTTTAGTATATAATATGTTACAGGAGTTATTAGAGTTGTTGCGAGCAAATTTCTCACTAAATAATTTTGTGAGTATTCTTGGTTGGTATTATGTGAGGGAGCGATGTTTATCCTATACCTTTAAACGAGCAATTCTTGTATATATATATACATAATCGGAGTCTCGGAAACGGCTCCAACGATTTTCATAAAATTTAGTGTCCAGGGAGTTTCGGAGGCAATAAATCGATCTAGCTAGGATTTATTTTTAGAAAATGTCCTTTTGTCCGTGTTTTCAGGCAATAAAAAAACTGCTACAATATAAGAAGGTAAATTTTGATAGACTACTAACGATCGTAATACCTCAGGTGGAATGTCGGTCGGGCGTGATATCGGAGTTCCGTGGTTCGCGTCCCGTCTTAGGTCCGACTTTTTTTTTCCTTTTTTTTTCAAATTCCTTTCTTTTGTGAGAAAATCTATTATTTCGAGCTCTTTTTTTTTTTAGTAATTTTTAAAAATAAGAAAAATTTTAATTAAACTAATTGCACTCATGATTTTCATTCAAATAACCAGTTCAGTTTTTTGTATTATGTCAATAAGATGAAAAAATATTATTCATGTAATTTGTATATAATGTAACTTAAAAAAACCGAGCAAAGCTAGGTCATCTGGGTACTATTACTATAGTACGTGAGGGTAATATGGCCATTCTTTCTTACAACTAAATCGACAGCATTTTATATATAGATAGCTTTGTGATACGATAGCTTTTCATCGTTCAATTGAATAATAATAATAATATTTTAGGCAACTAAGAACAATTAAAGAAAGAATAAAGTTATAATGTACGATTTTTTATTTTAATAATAAGAAATATATTTGACAATAGCCTCTGAGATTATATTTTAGGCAACTAAGCTCAATTAAAGAAAGAATAAAGTTATAATGTACGACTTTTTATTTTAATAATAAGAAATATATTTGACAATAGCCTCTGAGATTATATTTTAGGCAACTATGCTCCATTTTCATTTATATTGCTACCAAGCTCTTTCTAATATGATTTTTATAATGTACAATACAATAGATGATTCTGAACTGTTTTTTTTTTTAGTATAAGTCCCGCTGAGTTTTTTGTTAGCTCGAAAATACATCTGCCAGAGAATGGCTCCATTCTAAGGTATATTCCGGTTGAATTCTATACTAAATAAAAAAGACTTTATATGTATTTAGTACCAACGGGGCTAGCCAAGTCAACATTCTACAATCGTTAACGCAATAGAAAACTATACGAATGGATGAAATCAACGATAAGTCACATGAATGCACGTGACATAACGTTGAGGAATGTCACTTTCATCTTTTTAGTTTTATATTAAATTGCAGAAAGCCAATTTTGGCTAGCACCGTGATCAATCCGACCTATTCGTTTCGTTGTGCAACTACGAAGGGCGGCTGAAAATGCTGATAGAAAAGTATACAAAATTTGTTTTGCTATATAATCTCCCTCTACTTCGACGCACTTCTTACATTTGTGATAAAGGGCTTTTAACCCAGTGAAAAAATATTCGCCATCTTTACCTTCGAAATGCTCGTCTACCGCTGCCTTTATTTCTTCGTCACTCGAAAATCTACGTCTGCGTAGGTATTTCTTGAAATATGAAAATGTGTAAAAATCACTGGGTCTAGACGGTATGGTGGGTGATTGATTTCTTGAAATCCAGTTTTATTCGGGGCTCGCCTTGCAACTCAGACAGTGTGCACGGGCGCATTGTTCTGAAAAAAACAGGATTCCTTTCGCCATTTAGCCTCTTTTTTTTTTTGAATACCACTTGACACACTTTTGTCAACAATGCAGCGTAATAGTCCCCATTTATTGTACTATTCTTAGGAAGGTAGTCAATTAATAAAATTTCTTCAATCCCAAAAAACAGTGGCCATGAGCTTGGATGCCGATCGCTCCACCTTTAATTTCCATGGCGGCTTTTCTCCCTTTTAAATCCACTGCAATGGACTCTTCTTTTGGCTGGATCCTATTGCCGGATCCATGTTTCATCAACAGTGACAATTTGAGAATAAAAATTGTCAGGATTATCACCTCAGATGTCCAAAAACTCCTGCGAAGTTGTGACTCGACGCTAATTGTCAAGCGGAGTATTTTTGGCACCCATCGTGCGTCCTTTTGCATGTGCAAATGAGTATGCAAAATATTCCTTGCTAATTGCTATGGTTTCAGCTATCAGCCACAAATTGAATCACAGAACAAATATCTTTACTTTTTCAATATTTTTTTCGTTAACGGCAGTGTTTGGCCGCCCTGACCTAGGGTCATCATGTAGCAAATCTCTGCCATGATTGAATTCTCAGGTCACGTTTTACGGTGGCAAATGAAGGTCCAGACTCCGAGTGTCGACGTCTATTTAAATATTTCCGTCGGCGTTTTGTTCTTCTCTGTGAGGAATTTTATGACAGCTCTGTACTCCATTTTCGTACAATGCGCGGATGACTGAGACATGATGATGTTTTTGATTAATTACTAAAATCGTAATGATGCTAATGATGTGAAACTCTTTATGTATACTAAGGAGGGTATACGCAAATTAATAATGTACAGGACGAGACAATAATGACATTTATTGGTACTTAGGCTCAAAACTTTTCAGCCACCCCTCGTATAACGTACTACAGCTTGGTCACTACAAACAACGATTTAACCTATAATACTCCCGTTTGGGCGACAGTAGCTTAATACTAAGTTTGCAGAATGTTAATTTGGAATGTGGTGGGTTCGAATCCATCATTTGATCACTGTCACAACCAATCTTAACATAATCACGACTGGTTTACGGAAATATTAATAATGTTAGCATTACTATTATTCTATTTAGAAAAGTGGTTAACTACTATCCCATTTAATGGTGGTGACGATTGTTTATGCTTTGTATGCGCTAAGACAGTGGAATTTACCATCTAGGGCTACATTACTGCTGAAAACCTGGTGGAATTGTCAACATAAGCTTTTGATAAGTAACACACAAGTATCTGTACTTCAATATGAACACAATGTTGGTGTGTTCAAGGTAAGATTGAATAGTGATTTTGAGTTATGTCATTGCGTTTTAAAATGAGAAGCAGTTTGATTACCTCGTTGGTCTACTGTTTGTAAGGGCGACTAATGAACACGAGGTCCCGTATTCGAATCCCGAGTCAGGCCAAAATAAATAATTGGAAATTGGTGACAAGAAATTGTTAGTAGCAGCTCGAAGTTAGAGGCGATAGAGGGAAACTAAGTAGGAGATGGGCAGTAGCATCTTCCTTATTACAACTAAAAACTGTGGTTGCCAAAACATAAAACGAAATTGTCAAGGCATAAAACTGCGGTTGCAAGCCCGCTTTTCAACTGTGGCAAATATCTCACATATGGAGCAATCTATGGGGAGGCTTATGTTCGATAGAGGACTTTGATAGGCTGTTATGAATGAATGAATATCGTGTGCATGCGTGCGAATGTGCTTGTACGTGGTAGAGCCATGCTACAGCTATATTATGGTTGTGGTATGAATGGGTTGGTTCGATTGGGAAGGATCATGCTCACAGAATACCAGGGTTAAGACAACAGCTTCATGTTGCTGTGTTTTTTCATCTTAGTCCTCAGGGGTAACAGACTTGCATTTTGATCCCTTTCGGATAAATGTAGATGCCTATGGGGTGTAGCATTCACTTGCCATTAGGTGGAGTATGTGCTCGTTTGTCACCCTCAAACTATTAAAAAAATGTGTGTACGTGTTACGAAACGTGTGTACGTACCGTTGGCACGCAGCGCAGCTAGCAGGCAAGTGACGAGCCGTGCAGGAGCCAGTGGATCCCGCATTGCGGGCAGCACGCAGCACGCTAGCAACGTGTGTACGTACCGTTGGCATGCAGCGCAGCTAGCAGGCAAGTGACGAGCCGTGCAGGAGCCAGTGGATCCCGCACTGCGGGCAGCACGCAGCATGCTAGCAACGTGTGTACGTACCGTTGGCACGCAGCGCAGCCAGCAGGCAAGTGACGAGCCGTGCAGGAGCCAGTGGATCCCGCATTGCGGGCAGCACGCAGCACGCTAGCAACGTGTGTACGAACCGTTGGCACGCAGTGCAGCTAGCAGGCAAGTGACGAGCCGTGCAGGAGCCACTGGATCCCGCATTGCGGGCAGCACGCAGCACGCTAGCAACGTGTGTACGTACCGTTGGCACGCAGCGCAGCTAGCAGGCAAGTGACGAGCCGTGCAGGAGCCAGCGGATCCCGCATTGCGGGCAGCACGCAGCACGCTAGCAACGTGTGTACGTACCGTTGGCACGCAGCGCAGCTAGCAGACAAGTGACGAGCCGTGCAGGAGCCAGTGGATCCCGCACTCCGGGCAGCACGCAGCACGCTAGCAACGTGTGTACGTACCGTTGGCACGCAGCGCAGGTAGCAGGTAAGTGTCGAGCCGTGCAGGAGCCAGTGGATCCCGCACTGCGGGCAGCACGCAGCACGCTAGCAGGCAAGTGACGAACCGTGCAGGAGCCAGTGGATCCCGCACTGCGGGCAGCACGCAGCACGCTAGCAACGTGTGTACGTACCGTTGGTACGCAGCGCAGCTAGCAGGCAAGTGACGAGCCATGCAGGAGCCAGTGGATCCCGCATTGCGGGCAGCACGCAGCACGCTAGCAACGTATGTACGTACCGTTGGCATGCAGCGCAGCTAGCAGGCAAGTGACGAGCCGTGCAGGAGCCAGTAGATCCCGCATTACGGGCAGCACGCAGCACGCTAGCAACGTGTGTACGTACCGTTGGCATGCAGCGCAGCTAGCAGGCAAGTGACGAGCCGTACAGGAGCCAGTGGATCCCGCATTGCGGGCAGCACGCAGCACACTAGCAACGTGTGTACGTACCGTTGGCATGCAGCGCAGCTAGCAGGCAAGTGACGAGCCGTGCAGGAACCAGTGGATCTCGCATTGCGGGCAGCACGCAGCACGCTAGCAACGTGTGTACGTACCATCGGCACGCAGCGCAGCTAGCAGGCAAGTGACGAGCCGTGCAGGAGCCAGTGGATCCCGCACTGTGGGCAGCACGCAGCACGCTAGCAACGTGTGTACGTACCGTTGGCATGCAGCGCAGCTAGCAGGCAAGTGACGAGCCGTGCAGGAGCCAGCGGCTCTCGCACTGCGGGCAGCACGCAGCACGCTAGCAACGTGTGTACGTACCGTTGGCACGCAGCGCAGCCAGCAGGCAAGTGACGAGCCGTGCAGGAGCCAGTGGATCCCGCATTGCGGGCAGCACGCAGCACGCTAGCAACGTGTGTACGAACCGTTGGCACGCAGCGCAGCTAGCAAGCAAGTGACGAGCCGTGCAGGAGCCAGTGGATCCCGCATTGCGGGCAGCACGCAGCACGCTAGCAACGTGTGTACGTACCGTTGGCACGCAGCGCAGCTAGCAGGCAAGTGACGAGCCGTGCAGGAGCCAGCGGATCCCGCATTGCGGGCAGCACGCAGCACGCTAGCAACGTGTGTACGTACCGTTGCCACGCAGCGCAGCTAGCAGGCAAGTGACGAGCCGTGCAGGAGCCAGTGGACCCCGCACTGCGGGCAGCACGCAGCACGCTAGCAACGTGTGTACGTACCGTTGGCACGCAGCGCAGCTAGCAGGTAAGTGACGAGCCGTGCAGGAGCCAGTGGATCCCGCACTGCGGGCAGCACGCAGCGCAGCTAGCAGGCAAGTGATGAGCCGTGCAGGAGCCAGTGGATCCCGCACTGCGGGCAGCACGCAGCACGCTAGCAACGTGTGTACGTACCATTGGCATGCAGCGCAGCTAGCAAGCAAGTGACGAGCCGTGCAGGAGCCAGTGGATCCCGCATTACGGGCAGCACGCAGCACGCTAGCAACGTGTATACGTACCGTTGGCATTCAGCGCAGCTAGCAGGCAAGTGACGAGCCGTGCAGGAGCCAGGGATCCCGCATTGCGGGCAGCACGCAGCACGCTAGCAAAGTGTGTATGTACCGTTGGCATGCAGCGCAGCTAGCAGGCAAGTGACGAGCCGTGCAGGAGCCAGTGGATCCCGCATTGCGGGCAGCACGCAGCACGCTAGCAAAGTGTGTAGGTACCGTTGGCATGCAGCGCAGCTAGCAGGCAAGTGACGAGCCGTGCAGAAGCCAGTGGATCCCGCATTGCGGGGAGCACGCAGCACGCTAGCAACGTGTGTACGTACCGTTGGCATGCAGCGCAGCTAGCAGGCAAGTGACGAGCCGTGCAGGAGCCAGTGGATCCCGCATTACGGGCAGCACGCAGCACGCTAGCAACGTGTGTACGTACCGTTGGAACGCAGCGCAGCTAGCAGGCAAGTGACGAGCCGTGCAGGAGCCAGCGGATCCCGCATTGCGGGCAGCACGCAGCACGCTAGCAACGTGTGTACGTACCGTTGGCATGCAGCGCAGCTAGCAGGCAAGTGACGAGCCGTGCAGGAGCCAGTGGATCCCGCACTCCGGGCAGCACGCAACACGCAGCACGTTAGCAACGTGTGTACGTACCGCTGGCACGCAGCGCAGCTAGCAGGTAAGTGACGAGCCGTGCAGGAGCCAGTGGATCCCGCACTGCGGGCAGCACGCAGCGCAGCTAGCAGGCAAGTGACGAGCCGTGCAGGAGCCAGTGTATCCCGCACTGCGGGCAGCACGCAGCACGCTAGCAACGTGTGTACGTACCGTTGGCATGCAGCGCAGCTAGCAGGCAAGTGACGAGCCGTACAGGAGCCAGTGGATCCCGCATTGCGGGCAGCACGCAGCCCACTAGCACCGTGTGTACGTACCGTTGGCATGCAGCGCAGCTAGCAGGCAAGTGACGAGCCGTGCAGGAGCCAGCGGCTCTCGCACTGCGGGCAGCACGCAGCATGCTAGCAACGTGTGTACGTACCGTTGGCACGCAGCGCAGCTAGCAGGCAAGTGACGAGCCGTGCAGGAGCCAGGGATCCCGCACTCCGGGCAGCACGCAGCACGTTAGCAACGTGTGTACGTACCGCTGGCACGCAGCGCAGCTAGCAGGTAAGTGACGAGCCGTGCAGGAGCCAGTGGATCCCGCACTACGGGCAGCACGCAGCGCAGCTAGCAGGCAAGTGACGAGCCGTGCAGGAGCCAGTGGATCCCGCATTACGGGCAGCACGCAGCACGCTAGCAACGTGTGTACGTACCGTTGGCATGCAGCGCAGCTAGCAGGCAAGTGACGAGCCGTACAGGAGGCAGTGGATCCCGCATTGCGGGCAGCACGCAGCACGCTAGCAACGTGTGCACGTACCGTTGGCACGCAGCGCAGCTAGCAGGCAAGTGACGAGCCGTGCAGGAGCCAGCGGATCCCGCATTGCGGGCAGCACGCAGCACGCTAGCAACGTGTGTACGTACCGTTGGCACGCAGCGCAGCTAGCAGACAAGTGACGAGCCGTGCAGGAGCCAGTGGATCCCGCACTCCGGGCAGCACGCAGCACGCTAGCAACGTGTGTACGTACCGTTGGCATGCAGCGCAGCTATCAGGCAAGTGACGAGCCGTGCATGAGCCAGTGGATCCCGCATTGTGGGCAGCACGCAGCACGCTAGCAACGTGTGTACGTACCGTTGGCATGCAGCGCAGCTAGCAGGCAAGTGACGAGCCGTGCAGGAGCCAGTGGATCTCGCATTGCGGGCAGCACGCAGCACGCTAGCAACGTGTGTACGTACCGTTGGCACGCAGCGCAGCTAGCAGGCAAGTGACGAGCCGTGCAGGAGCCAGTGGATCCCGCATTGCGGGCAGCACGCAGCACGCTAGCAACGTGTGTACGTACCGTTGGTACGCAGCGCAGCTAGCAGGCAAGTGACGAGCCGTGCAGGAGCCAGTGGATCTCGCATTGCGGGCAGCACGCAGCACGCTAGCAACGTGTGTACGTACCATCGGCACGCAGCGCAGCTAGCAGGCAAGCGACGAGCCGTGCAGGAGCCAGTGGATCCCGCACTGCGGGCAGAGCGCAGCACGCTAGCAACGTGTGTACGTACCGTTGGCATGCAGCGCAGCTATCAGGCAAGTGACGAGCCGTGCAGGAGCCAGTGGATCCCGCATTGCGGGCAGCAAGCAGACGCTAGCAACGTGTGTACGTACCGTTGGCATGCAGCGCAGCTAGCAGGCAAGTGACGAGCCGTGCAGGAGCCAGCGGCTCTCGCACTGCGGGCAGCACGCAGCACGCTAGCAACGTGTGTACGTACCGTTGACACGCAGCGCATCTAGCAGGCAAGTGACGAGCCGTGCCGGAGCCAGTGGATCCCGCACTGCGGGCAGCAAGCAGACGCTAGCAACGTGTGTACGTACCGTTGGCACGCAGCGCAGCTAGCAGGCAAGTGACGAGCCGTGCAGGAGCCAGTGGATCCCGCATTGCGGGCAGCAAGCAGACGCTAGCAACGTGTGTACGTACCGTTGGCACGCAGCGCAGCTAGCAGGCAAGTGACGAGCCGTGCAGGAGCCAGCGGCTCTCGCACTGCGGGCAGCACGCAGCACGCTAGCAACGTGTGTACGTACCGTTGGCACGCAGCGCAGCTAGCAGGCAAGTGACGAGCCGTGCAGGAGCCAGTGGATCCCGCACTGCGGGCAGCACGCAGCACGCTAGCAACGTGTGTACGTACCGTTGGCACGCAGCGCATCTAGCAGGCAAGTGACGAGCCGTGCAGGAGCCAGTGGATCCCGCACTGCGGGCAGCAAGCAGCACGCTAGCAACGTGTGTACGTACCGTTGGCACGCAGCGCAGCTAGCAGGCAAGTGACGAGCCGTGTAGGAGCCAGTGGATCCCGCACTGCGGGCAGCACGCAGCACGCTAGCAACGCGTGTACGTACCGTTGGCATGCAGCGCAGCTAGCAGGCAAGTGACGAGCCGTGCAGGAGCCAGCGGCTCCCGCACTGCGGGCAGCACGCAGCACGCTAGCAACGTGTGTACGTACCGTTGGCACGCAGCGCAGCTAGCAGGCAAGTGACGAGCCGTGCAGGAGCCAGTGGATCCCGCATTGCGGGCAGCACGCAGCACGCTAGCAACGTGTGTACGTACCGTTGGCACGCAGCGCAGCTAGGAGGCAAGTGACGAGCCGTGCAGGAGCCAGTGGATCCCGCATTGCGGGCAGCACGCAGCACGCCAGCAACGCAGGGTGTGACCGCACCACACTGTCTGGAGCACGAGGAGAGCTGCTGAACTTGTGGAAGTGCCGGATGCACTCCTGCAAACGATGCCACTTTTCATCAGAAGGAAGAATTTATGGCCAAATACTTAAACACTGCACAATTTTAGGATGTCGATAAGCCCCGTCAATATGCGGCGTAGTTTAAACACCATGAAATATTATTAGTAAGTGTAATTTCGATATAACCTTGCCCGTGTTAGACGGATATGCATAGGCATTTTTCTATGTTAAAAGAACTACATAGCCGCTAACCATCACGTAGACTGTAAGTTCGTTTATCATTACAGTTCAAACTTTCAAGCTTCTGATGGATGGCGATATACGAGGGTGAAAAGTTTTTAGAACTGGCCACTTGTAAACGATATAAAAAAAATAAGTTCTAATTTTAAAAATAGAACTCTGTGCTAATATTACTGTGTATGTATAAATTTTTCATTTGTTTACGATTTGGCGGTAAATTGAAATTTGTCCGTGTCACGTCGGCAAGAATTTACCACGAGAAAATTTTCGTACAATGATTTTTTATGACTTTCGATGTCGTTTAAGTCAACAAGATTTGATAGAAGTTATGATAGACTTCGATTGGCCTTTCACAATGAAGCCCCATTTCGTGCTACTGTTTGCAACTAGTTTAATTAGTTTAAACGTGGTCGCACTAATCTCACCGATGATCTGCGTAAGGGAAGGCCTTCTACAGCGACGACTGAAGATAATATTAGTGTTGTGCGTCGTATGATGAGACTGACAAATGAGTGACTTATCAGCAGATTCGGACAAGCTTCGGCATCGGTATGAGTCAAGTGCACAAAATCCTCCATGAATATTTAGCGGTCAGGAAGCTTTGTGCCCGGTGGATACCTCATAATTTGACAGAGGCCCAAAAACTCCGTCGTGTTAATTAGTGTCGTAAAATGGTTCAATTTACGGAGGTGACTCAAATACAGAGTTCGATATTCTTACGGGTGACGAAAGTTGGATTTATTGTTATGATCCTGAATCTAAGAGACAGTCTGCTGTCTAGGTGTTTCATTCCGAGGAGTTACAAATTAAACTGAAGAGAGGTCGAAGCGTGGAAAAAAAGATTGTGGCCCCGTTCTTCGAAAGGACAGGTCATTACGCAACAATTGTTTTAGATAGAGTATCGAAAAACAGTTACTGCAAAGTGGTACACTAATAATTGTTTGCCACTTGTCTTGGCAAAAGTTCGGGAGAAACGACACAGTAGGATTCTCCTTCATCACGATAACGCTTCGTTGCACACCGCCAAGCAAACAATCGACTACTTGGCGACGTCAGACGTGGAATTACTGGTTCACCCCGACCTCGCACTTTGTGAATTTTATTTATTTCGGAAAATGAAAGAAAATCTTCGAGGAAAGAGTTTTATAGACGCCGAGGAAGCAGTAGCTGCGTTTCAAAATGTCGTCGAAGAAACCCCTAAGGACGAGTGGGCAAAGTGCTTTGCTCAGTGATTCCATCGGATGGCAATGTATTGATGTAAATAGACACTATATTGAAAAGATATAAAACTAATAACTTAAAGAGTTTGTTAAATTTTTGATTTTCTAAGAACTTTCAGTGTCTCCCTCGTACCATCCTGCATAATGTATTTATACACGTATATAACAGAGATGGGCTGAATATGAGTTTCACCGAATACGAACCTCGGTACCTAAACAATTTATGTCGAAACTTGTTGCCGTAAAGCGCGCGGGATTAGCGCCGGACCCTGCCCCTCGTACCCCTGCAACACCTGACATGTTGTTGCATCATATATAATGAGCAAATTGGCGGCACATTCTTGTTCTGACTATTTTTGTGAGAAAAAAAGTATTTCGTGAGTTTATTTTTAGTAAATATTTAGAATTATATGATAAAAATGAGTGGCAAGAAATCTACTATTTGCACATATTTTAGAGAAACTGACGACCAAAGTAAAGTGAAATGGACTAATGTAATGAGATGTTTCTTTGTTTGATTCCAAAAATTTTTTTGCGTAAATTGATTGTGCGTGCATGCGCGTGCGCGTGCTCCTTTTAATTAGAATCTGTGTGCGCGTGCGCGTGCGTGTGTGTATGTGTGTGTGTGTATGGGGTGTGTGTGTGTGTGTGTGTGTGTGTGTGTGTGTGTGTGTGTGTGTGTGTGTGTGTGTGTGTGTGTGTGTGTGTGTGTGTGCGTGCGTGCGTGCGTGCGTGCGTGCGTGCGTGCGTGCGTGCGTGCGTGCGTGCGTGCGTGCGCGTGCGTGCGTGCGTGCGTGCGTGCGTGCGTGCGTGCGTGCGTGCGTGCGTGCGTGCGTGCGTGCGTGCGTGCGTGCGTGCGTGGTGCGTGCGTGCGTGCGTGCGTGCGTGGTGTGTGTGTGTGTGTGTGTGTGTGTGTAGGAGCACGCGTGCTCCTTTTAATTAGAATCTGTTATATCTGTAATTTTTCATAAATTTTAAGTCATTTTTGCTTTGCTGCACATTATTGTTTTACGTAATTTAGACAAATAGCCACTTTGATCTATTGTAAAATCTTTTGTTTGACCCCCACGAGACAGGCCATGCCTAGTGTGGGAGTCACATAACTTATTGCATTTTGGCAGAGTCACATAACTTATTGCATTTTAGCAAAGTGTTTTCTGGTAAATAAATTTATTATTATTAAATGAAGTTGATTAATTAGTGCATTACTAATAAAAAAAATACTCATTGTTTTCGTTTTAGGGCATGCAGCAAGACAACACCACCCCACCGTTCACGGCAAATAAAATATTTAAAGTCTGGCTGCTTTTTTTGGGAAGACTAGTTATGGGAAAAAAATAACTTATCTTTATCGTAACGATATCATTAACAACGATAAGATAACGGTTACGTTAATAACGTTGTTTTTTATTAACTTTTATCCGCAACTCGCGAAATAATATGTAAATGAGGCCTTTTAAAGACGGGCATAAAAAACGAAGCTGCTGTCAAAATGTGTTACAAAGTGAAGTGAAGTGATTATTACCAGTTTCGAAACGGCCTCTAGCAATGTACTGTGTGACACATTTTGACATCATTATCACACAAGATGGGCAACGTGATGTCTTCTTTGATTATTTTTGTGATCAGGAATTAACAACTATTCTCCAAGATTGTTCCAATGACTCTGATTCTGATGATGATGATTGTGACTTAGGATGTACACCCCTGCGTCAATAAATTTATTATTGCTAATTTAACTACTAAAATGAGTCCTAAGGTTAAAGTAAGTATTGGGTGCATATTTTTCATGAATACTTCGATAATCGATATATCGAATTTAATGTTCCCAGCACGAGTCACATCAGAATGACAGCTGTCATTCTAATCAAGCTATATTTATAAAACTATAGTAGACAGTATAATGTTGCAATACTACTTTAACTAGTCAATGACTAAAAAGTTAGAAGTTAATTGAGTCACACTCTTTTTTCATTTTGTTATGTGATGTCACCACAAAATGTTATCTGTACGCCACACAAACTCACCTTAGCGGCCGGACTGAGATCTTCTCTCTCGGTTAGCTCCTCGGGATACTTTTTACACATCTCCGGAATCCAAGCGATCTCTTGCTTCTTGTAGAACTCTTTCGCGTTAAGAGCTGCGCATGCGTATCCAACTATTTCTGGCTTGACACCTAAAAAGCAAAAATTAATATTGTCTGACAAACACATTCAAGGAAGTAAAAAGAGATTGAAATTGTAAGGTACAATGACACAATTCACCATTAATCTTGGTGTCCAGTACAGCGTCGGACTTGTCCTCCGTGTAGTCAATGTCAACTTCAGCGCCATCTGTGTCTTGTGGCAAGCAACCCTCGTCGTCTTCTATGACCATGCATAACTCTGGCGCTAGGGTTAAAAACGGCGCTACTAACCTGAAAATAACGTTTTGCGATTACAAATTAACCTATTTGCAATTGAATAAAATTAAATTTACGGATTTTATTACTTTTACTTATTTTTTTTTTATTTTTAATTCCCGACGTTTCGGGTGCTTTACAGCACCCATGGTCACGGATACGGTTTTGCGTAAATCGGACCAAAAATTAATATTCAAAAACTGAAGGTAGCCGGACTAACTACGACATTGGGACGCCAAACATCTCAGTCCCCCCCGTGACCATGGGTGCTGTAAAGCACCCGAAACGTCGGGAATTAAAAATAAAAAAAATAAGTAAAAGTAATGAAATAAACGCGATAAAATCCGAAAATTTAGTTTTATTCAATGTGTAGTGTTCGCGTAAATTTAAGAAATCATTACTATTTGCAATGTCATGATAAATCGGCTATTTTTTGATATTCAAACAATTTCATACTCGTTTTAAATAGCATCGAGTCAGAATTGGAGTCATTGATTTGAATCTTACCTATTTCTGTGTAGAGCGTGCGCAACAGCGCCGCGACAGAAATAGCTATGGGAGTTGTATCTACTTAGATGGACTCTTAGGCAAGAAAGAATTGCTATCATCTAGTAAATAGTAGGGATAATTTGAGAGATTTTGACCAATTTACAAATAATTATATAGTACCGGCACTTACAATAACATGTAAAATATACACGATAAGCCTAGTTGTGTAGTGCACAACTAGGCGCATCATGTATATTTAGATACAGTCAAGTCTGGCAACTTTACAAACGGAAGTTAACTTTGCCATCAGCGATGAACAGGTCTAAAATTATGATTAATACGGACAACGTAGCGTTTTTTTTTTGAGATATGCCATTTTTTGATGAAAATTGTTTTAGTTATGACTACATGAAAGTTAACTTTGTAACTTTATTTTAACGTAGAATTGTAGCGACGATTTATACCCGTATTTATAAAGAAGTAATTACTTTTTGCCAAGTAATTTCTTAGTTAAGTCATTACTTAAGGTTAGAATTCTTAATTACAAAATCTCATTCTATAGTTGAGTAACATACGTTACTTACTTGAGCAAATGCCCAAGTAACACACTACGCTTGGTGGTTGTTTCTGTGTTCATAAACATAGTTCTTCATTATTACGAACGATGTTTTGACTTACTGTCAAAGGTTTCGAAATAAACAACAATTCTAAGGCATAAAATTCCGTATGTTAAAACTTACGAACGACGATTAACACGATTTTTATGACGCCGAAAATAAATATTCGTAAAATATTTCAAAGTTAGATAACGTCTAAACTTTTAAAGTAAGAAGGTACATTTAGCAGAAATAACATAATCCCGAAAAAAGAGTTACATATTATATCCATTTAATCAGCTGTCAGTCCTATAAAGGGAGATGAGTTGGAGATGTGAGATGGCATGAAAGGGTTGTCACCCGGGCTTCTTAGCCCAGCTAAGATCTATTTGTTTATTGTGGCAACTTCGGTACCCCGTGAGCGCTTACTATGCGCCAGGTTGTCAAAATCGTTATTTTAAAATTCAACTCTAAAGAAATAAACGTAAAAGTAAAAAAAAAAATGTTTAATTAATTCTTGTTTTCTGTTAAAAATAATTATTATCGATAAAATAAAATGTGTTAAAGTAAATAGAGTAAAATTTACAACATAAATATAATGTTTGATTATTATACTTATTTGTTCAATTTCTGTTCAAATGATTATTTATTCGATATATATATTTGGAAAAAAAATTTCAAATTCTATCTCCTCTAATTTATTATCATCATCTATATTGTCTACAACAGCAAAAAAAAAACCGTTCCAATGCTATCCAAAGTTTTCATTTTTTATCCAAAATAACCTCAAAGCAGTGCTTAAGTAAAGGAAATAGTGACTATTACTTGGCTGAGTATTCTAACTTTTGACTGTTCTAACTTGGAGCAATTACTTAACTATCGAATACAACTCGTTAAGTGATTACTTTTACTCAAGTAATTACTTTTACTTGTTTATAAATACGGGTGTTAACCTCCTTGTTGAGCTCTCTAAAACTTTTGTTGATTTTGTTTGAAATACTGCATGTAGGTGTCTATATCTATATAATAACGTAATAATAATGATTAGGACACGTAATATTTCATTTTTAACATGGTGGGCTTAACATTTTGTCTATAAAACTGACTTGGCAAAGTTACCATACTAGCGATGCCACGATGCGACGGTAGCTTTTCCATGTTTTGTTACAACCAAGGGTTGTCACTTTCAACCTAACCGATTACGATGATTTAAAGAAATGGTTCTGTATTTCACATTCCATGTAAGTTTGTATAGATGTTTCACCTTAGCATCCAGTAAAACAATTTCACCAAATAAGTTGTCAATGGATTTATTTTTATTAAAAGTTAAGGAAAAGAAAAGAGAAGTCTTTATTATTTTACTGCGTTGTCAGGTATTATTAAAATATTATTACTACTATTTTTTGTTGATATTAATTTGCACCAAGAGAACAGTATCATTTTTAATGATTATGAATGTAGTGCTATTGTGGCAAATTTTTTTTTGCCACAATAGCACTTTTGCAAGCATTTGACAAGCTTCAATTTTGATCTATACTATAATTGACTAGCGATCCGCCCCGGCTTCGCACAGGTGATTTCTGGATCTCGAAAGCAAAGCCACCTACCAGGTCCATGTGAATATAACCCATCTAGTCATCTATTCAAACATACACAAAAAGTTTCATCAAAATCTGTTGTATGGTTTCCAAGTCTATAACGGACAAGGTAGAAACATTTTTTGTTTTATATAGATAGATTTAAGCTTCTTATTGCACCAATTTGACTTTTAATTTTAGAGGACAGTATTTTTATTTGATATATTTTAGATTTTTGTCTGAGAAATCATTATGAAAAGATTTAAATAATAAAATTAAGTAAAATACGTAATCAAAAATTTTTGACAACCCTGACACACTTATTCAAGTTTGTATTAAAATTTTTAAAATGTGAGGACAACTTTGCTACAAGCGTAAATTTTGTTATATCCAATTAAAGTGGCAAATCATAACTCTGAGTGTTGTGTATAATAATATTTATGAGGTAAACTTACCTTTAACGTTGAATTCAAATCCTATTATTTTCATTATAAACCCTGATGGCAAAGTTACCACAAAGTGAAATTAACTTTACAATTTTCTACTTTTTAATGTTTTGTCTTACTTAATGTTAGTATTTGTTTAAATCACTAATAAACACCAAATCTTTGCAGAATATAGTGTCACTTTTAACAATGACGCCCAGTCTGAGAGTACCCCTCATGTTGGAAAATTGGTCCGAAATTTTTAAGTCCTTCCAAAAATAGCAAACTTGCCAGATTTCTCGGTGATTTTTAAAACTCCGGCTTCCATTTTTTTTTCAGTTTTAGTAGAGAACCTCAAAAATAAAATAATCAAATATAATATCTATACTAGATTCTGAATGTAATTACCTGTCGGCTGGGAGCGTTTGTAGATCGCTAGGGAAGAGGTCAGAACAGTCGGAGCCGTCGCGACACGTCTTGTGGCAAATCGTCGATACCTGCAAGACAATATTATTTGGATTTTCAATATTCAAGAAATCATTGTATGTATGTATGTGTATGTGTGTGTGTGTGTGTGTGTGTTTGTATGTGCGCGTGTGTGTGCGTGTGTTTGCGTGCGTGCGTGTGCGTGCGTGCGTGTGTATGCGTGCGTGTGCGTGTACGTGCGTGTGCGTGCGTGTGCGTGCGTGCGCGTGTGTGAGTGCGTGCGAGCGTGCGTGCGTGCGTTGTAGTGTGTGCTTATATATATGTAGGATAGAATAAGAGAGAGTTAGTAATAAACCTACAGTCAAGACCTAGACGTATTATCATTTATTCCCCGAATCTCCCCACATTACATGGCGACCCTGCTGGGCTGCTACAATGCTAGCGCACCGCCGGGGCCTGCATAGAAAATAAAGTAATTTATCGAAGAAGATAATTATTGAATCAAAATAAATATATAATAAAAAAAAGAACATTATACCGGATGTGACACTTAAATTTTTAATTAAGAATATAAGAAGAGAATAGAACTTTTTTTTGAGAAATCGAAGCCTATATAATGTTACGAGCTTGAGGTTCGTGACAATAAAAATTGCCGATAGAATTACCTAAATTAACACTTTAATTTTCTTTAAACAAATTAAAACTTAAAACACTAATAATTAAGCACACTGATTCACTTCGCTTCGCTTGTCTCGCCGAATTCAATACTTCCTCGATCGCACCTTGCAGCGCCTATAAATACACATTAGTACCGAATCATCCAGAACATTCAAGTAAATACGCGCACCAATCGACAAAGCGTCGAAAGTTCGAGAGTCAGCTTCCAGAAGCTTAGTTCTTCGTTTCGACAACAGATGGCGCTGTCGGTTGAAAGATTAGTGATGTCATTTTCTGGAAAGCTCCCCTCGCTCTCGTCTCTGACACTAGATGGCGCTAGTGCCGTCAACTTAGGCGCGTAACAATAATATACTTAAAGAAAAAATGTTATAGAAGAAATGAAGAAAAGACCTGAAAAATAAATTATACAAGAAGCTCCAGTAACATTGTTATTAAATCAAGGAGACAAGAGAAAATTTCCAAGAAAGAAGATTCCAAGACACAGAAAACACCTTAATCAAAATTCCTTCAAGAGAAGAGTACCAACTTTATCAAAAATAAATATGAAAGAAAAACGAAGAGTACGAGGAAGTCCAGGCCCTACCACATCGAGGAGCTAAGAACATCTTCGAGTGCCAGAGAAGCAGAAACAAGTCAGGGGTACAACGAGCGACTAGCCAAGTTCTGCAGCAGGTACAAGACGTCTCGAATGCACCGAATGTAAGTTTAATTATATAATAATGGTGTCGATGTCTATTGTCAAATTATATTATTACTTATGTAATGTTATACACAGAACTGGGGGAAGAAAATTTTTAAATCATTTATTAAAAATAGGAAAAACATTAGTACTATTAATAGAAAAATCCTAAATTATGTATTATACCGCAATAATTAATCGGTAAATAACCACTGAATAATGATAATAATGACATTTGTTTTGCAACAATATGTTATAAACAGTTGTGCAATGGTGTTTAAGTATAATTTACTTCTACATATTCTACCATAGTAATGTGTATATTTTAATGGACAAGTAACTATAACAATATTTATCGAAATTTTAACAACATATAAATTATTCAATATTTTTTAATTGATATGGTAACTTTCTAATTAATTATGTAACAGCATCAGAGGAAATACCAACTTTAGATTATTATTATAGCTCAATGTCATATACTTGGTATAATCATTAATTTGTCAATCATTATGTATTATAAATTGTAAATGTTACATCCAATTATCATTTTTTTTCTGTTTTTATGTCAAATTTATTAATTCACTATTCCATTCGTGAACTAATGCAAATAAGACAAAATAGTAGTTCCCTAGATAATTATGGCAATAAAATCGAACAATTATTCGTGGATTTGAAGGTTTCACAAGCCGATTGTGACCAAAACGCGCATAAAAATTTTACGTCCTATAAATGAAAAGATCGCTATTAAAAGTTTCACAAATGGCTTGCGAAATCGACTCAGTATTATTTTGTCAGCACGTAATTATAGTATGTTAAAAGAAACAATTAGAGCTGCAAAGGATGCCTCGTCTAGTGTTCGACCTAGCGAGTACACCGAACCATCGATTTATTTCGGGAATCGAGGTGGTCCAGGAACGGGTAAAAATTTACGTGGTAGATATATATCCAATAATGTACCACGGCAAACACACCCATTTGCATACCCAAACAAAAAATAACGTGAACAGGAGGAAACCGGTACCCTAAAAGTTTTCGCGTGGAAATCAACAACACCGCGGAAAAAAAGGTAATTATGGTGAGTATTTAAAAATAAATTCAAAACATATCTTCTAGATAAACAAAAACAAGGTATTCCCAAACACTTCGTTTGCCAGCTATAAACCATGGCATGTTATTTCCTTTTTTTTTCTTTTACTAACTCATCATGGTTTTAAATCATTTGGGTACTATTCTAAATTGGGTACGCAGTCTTACACATCTTTTTCGTAATTTTTTACTAAATTAAACCCAAGATATAAATCATAGAGCTGAAAGGACACATCTTTCAGACATAATTACACTACAATAATATTAACGTGCAAAAAATAATTGTTTTTTCCTTATTTCTTTCTGATTGTACTATTGTGCTCATTTTCTTCTCGCCACCTCGAGGGTAATAGCTGAGTCAGTTGAAATCAGTGTTTGCTTTCTGAGCAATATTAATCGCTGAGCTATGACCCATTTGTTTAACTGCAACACTCATGTATATTTACGAGGGTGGATTGAAAAGTACTCGGCCTAACCAAGAAAATAAACACATACTAAATCAGTTATATTTTTATTTTTCTACATAATCACCATCAAGTTCAATACACTTTTGCCACCTCCCCTTCCAAGCATTTAGACCGCTGAAAAAAAATGATTCTTCCTTAGAGTCAAAATATGCGTCTACAGCTGCTTTGACCTCGTCGTTTGTCGAAAATCTTTGACCTCCCAAGTGCTTTTTTAGGTTAGGGAACAGAAAGAAGTCTGATGGTGCCAGATCAGGTGAATACGGCGGATGCGGTAACAGTTCAAAGCCACAGTTGTGAATTTCAGCCATTGACTGTACTGACGTGTGAACACGGGCGTTATCTTGATGAAACAGGACTTTTCTTCTGAGCATTCCTCGACGTTTTTCTTTTATTTCCTCTCGTAAACGACGTAGTAAGGTGCAGTAGTAATCAGAGTTTATAGTCTGACCCCTTTCAAGATAATCAATCATAATCACACCTTTCGAGTCCCAGAATACTGAAGCCATCACCTTATTTGCCGACAAAATCGACTTAGCCTTTTTAGGGGGTGGTGAACCAGGTCTTCTCCACTGTTTTGATTGTTGTTTTATTTCCGGTGTACAGTAATGAACCCATGTTTCGTCCATAGTAACAAAACGATTCAAAAAATCTTCTGCATCGGCTTCAAATAACTCCAAACAGTCGCGTAAAATAATCAATCGCGTCCTTTTTTGTTCAACTGAAAGCAGTCGCGGAACCCACCTCGCAGACACCTTGTGGAAACCCAACTCGTTGACAATGATGTTTTGAGTTCATTCATAAGAGATGCCTATAATCTCGGCTATCTCTCTAATTTTTAATCTGCGGTCTCCCATTATTAAATCAAGTACTTTTTTAATATTTTCGTCAGTAGTTGACGTCGAAGGCCTTCCAGAGCGGGGTTCATCTTTCACACTCTCTCTACCACGGTTAAATTCTACTATCCATTTTTTGACGGATGAATATGACAGAGCACAATCGTCTAATGTACTGACCATGTCATCATGGATGGCTTTTGATGATAGCCCCTTCTTATGGAGGTACTTAATGACGGCACGCTGCTCGATTTGCTCCATTCGCGGAAATTATGTCCGATTACTTTGTTAATAAATTTATAAAATCACAACTAATTATCGCACACGTTTCGAACTTCACACAATGAACTAGTCTGAATTGAACTAAATAATGTGGGTAGATTTGATTTTTAGAATTGAATGGATCTGTGTTAGGCCGAGTACTTTTCAATCCACCCTCGTAGATCATAAGTTTATGTATATTTTTTCCATAATACCTTGATTGTATATCTTGTTAATCACTGAATTTACGTGTGTGATTGGAGATACAAATAAACGTTTTATCTATCTATCTATCTATCTACTCATACCAGAATCGCGGATCTTTTTCGTGGTCAAAATGCCCAGCGAGTCATTTTATAACACCAGAATATCGCGTATCGGAAAGTTCTCAAAATATTGAAATTAACCCTAATAACGATATTAATGAAAATAACCTAGAATTTTTTCGAGACCAATAGTATAATTAGTTGCGAATATAGTAATTGTGTTAAATTAGCAATAGATGGTATCAAATGTAGATGGCTCGTAGATACCGAAGCTTCCGTATGTGCGATTAAATATGACACGCTTAGTAAACTAAACATTTCATTACAAAAGAAACCGATTACAATAAGCAGAATTGGAGGCAAATTACGAACCGTGGGATTTGTTGATTTAACATTGTCTGTTGACGGGCTGAAATTTAATAATAAGTTTCATGTTATAAAGCAGTTGCCGTGTGAAACTTCTGGAATTTTAGGTATAGATTTTTTACGTAAGTTTAATTGTAGCATAAATTTTGAATTGAATAATATTACACTGCATAATATGAATGAATTTGTAACTTTACCATTACATATGGGTATTTTGGGAAACAATAATTATTTGAGTATAGCTCCGAGATGCGAGAATTTATTTTGTATCAAAGCGAGTATGAAAAAAAGAAATGTTCAAAAATGGGAATACGAATGATTGAGTGGTTAAGTATCGTCAATATTGGACTGATCACCCAAATATTTGATGATGCTTAAACTAGTATTGAATTCGTTAAGAGTGAGAATTATGAAAGCATGAAAGGAATCAATATAAAAGAAAATAATTGACTGTAATAAATAGGTAATGGAGAGATACGGGAACGTCCATCACTGGTACAACATAGAGTCCTCGTGCAGGGTATGTTTCCGTGATTGGATGATAAAATCGGGCGTAACGGGTACTAGGGAACAGTACCTTCAGTACAAGTGATGTACACGAGTTGACACATATTAGTACTGTTAGGGACCATAGAAGTCTTAAATTTGTTACCCTTAATGGAGGTACATAGAGGTCATATCCTTCATTGGATCACAGTGTGAACTTAGTTTCCCTCCGTGACAATTGTTGGAGTCCTTTTAAAATGACTTAAACGTAGACCTCAAGGTTGTGCGCACAACCCAAGGTACATTTTACCTTGATATAAAAAAATATGTACCAATAAAATGAGAAGAATGTTACGAAAATGTAATATAATACCCAAATAAATGGGGGGCCCATATTTATAAAGTACCCGCGTGATAAATATCACCAAATAAAATATAAATGAAATGGAATAATACTCCGATTCCCGGTATCTAATAAATAAGTGAATAGAGAGAAATAGAGCTAGCTAAAGGTAAAAAATATTAAGAAGAAAAAAGAAAGTACGTTTTTAGTACGTTTTTAGTTAAGTTACGAATTATGGAAAAAAGGCCTAATAATCGATGACAATACAAGATAATAAGGGGATCCCCATCTAAATCTAAAGGGTTGGATAGGTAGTTACATATTTTGCATTTCTGTATTAGGACTATTAATGCTACCCAAAATGCGACTAACGAGTTACACATGTAATAACTAAAGGGATCGATTTACACAACTGCGCGAAAATGTGTTGTGTGTGTATGTATTGTGTGCGTAATTGTTTAACCACATTTGTAAATGAATTTACGAGATATTTTTTCATATTTTAGGCACATTGATTCATATTTACTACAAATCTGGTTGAATTTTTTTGTCATAACATTTTTGTTATATGTAAAATTTGTACATTTTAAACTATATTTGGTTTATATTTTGCTCATAAAGTCCAGAGTCTATCAATACACTATTATTATAAATTTATTAATGTAATAGTATTCCTTTTACGTTTTTTTCTTTATAAAAGAAAACGGAACCTAAAATTATGTTACCTGTTTGAAATAAAATTGTCTTTTTTAAAATTAATAAATATTTCGTGAGGTAACACTACTAGGTACACTTGAGCTGTGTACCTAGTAGTGTTTTCTTTGTTTTCTATAAATTTCATGTCATGAAAAAATGAGTTTTCGAAATTATAAATAACTTAATTAATGATTTTTTCTTAAGGTACCTATGTAAAAGTATAATACTTTTACAAAATGAATTTAACATTGAATGTAACAATCTATATTTAGAGGTACAAACTATTGGGAAAGTTAATTTTATTTTATTTAGGATATCATTTTAACGCATGGTTAAAACTATTTACCATTATACAAAGTAATCGAAAAAACGTTCCCATGAACATACTTAGAAATTAAAACAAAGGTGTCACAAACCGCTTACGCGGCTGAGATTGTAAGTTGTATTTGATCCCTGTTGTTATGTTAATGATTATGATTATGTTGCACTAGGACCGCCGTGAGACAAAACGTGTAATATTAATCGACTTCATCATTTTTGTCAACTAACGGTTTATATGTAATGCAAAGAAAAGATGCTTTTGACCAGAGTTTGTAGTATCTAATTAGTAACATCCTACTAATTATGCAAATCGATGTGACAAGTGTTGCGACATATACAATTAATAAAAATATATGTGCCAATGGTTATAACAGTTTATAACTATATAGACAGGATATTCCAGCAGTTATAGTACCAATATATAAAGGAAAAGGGTCACAGCAGGACTGCAAAAACTACCGCGGTATCAGCTTGCTTAGTATTGTGGGTAAACTGTATGCTAAGGTGTTAATTGAAAGAGTTATGAAAGAAACTGATGGAAAAATTTGGGATGTGCAAGCGGGTTTTAGAAAGGGAATGGGGTGCACAGATCAAGTCTTTTCCATGCGCATGATTGCGGAGAAGTTTTTGGCCAAAAACCAGAAAGTTTTTTGTGCGTTCATGGACTTGGAAAAGGCTTATGACAGAGTGGACAGGAATGTGTTATGGCAAACACTGAACTCATATGGGTTGAGCGCTGGTTTGATACAGGCATTAGGGTCTCTTTATAGGGACTCTAGTGCTTGTGTCAGGATCAATGGGGTCTACTCGGACTGGTTTGGCATCCAAAAAGGTGTCAGACAGGGCTGTGTAGCTTCCCCTTGGCTGTTCAACCTATTTATGGACCGGTGTTTGCAAACTTTGAAAGATGAAGAATGTGGTTTAAGAATGGGCGAGTTAACCGTCAAATGCCTTTTGTATGCCGATGATCAAGTCATATTTGCGTCATCAGCGGCTGAGTTGCAAATGATGGTTACATTAATGAACTGGGAATTAAAAGAAAGGGGAATGAAAGTGAACGCAAGTAAGACGAAAGTGATGGTTTTTGAAAGAGAAGAAAGCAAAACGGTATGTGAAATAAGAATAGAAGGAGAGTTAATTGAGCAAGTGGATGAGTTTGTGTATTTGGGATGTGTATTTAGCAGGGATGGTAGATATGATAGGGATATAGAACGACGAGTAAATGCAGGGAATAGAGTGAATGGGGCACTACACTCTATTATGAAGAACCAGAATGTGTCAAAACAGGCACGTATGGTAATTCATAATGCTGTGTTAGTCCCTACGTTAATGTATGGTAGTGAAAGCTGGGTGTGGCAGAAGAAGCACGAAAGTAGAATAAATGCTGTAGAAATGCGTTCTTTAAGAAATATGCTAGGGTTTAATCTGAATGACAGGGTGAGAAATTGCGTGATAAGAGATAAATGTGGTATGCAAGATGATGTTGTGACCAGGATTAAGAAAGGAATGCTTCGGTGGTTTGGTCACGTAGAAAGAATGAATGATGAAAGAGTGACAAAGCAAATTTATATGGCAGATGTGAACGGCCGAGTCGGGAAGGGACGCCCTAGAAAAAAGTTTGTCGACCAAATTGGCGATATTTTGAAAATGGGCCACGTTAGAAGTACCCTTAAACGACGAGCATGTATGCGTAGATATATGGATGTAAAGGAGGCGAAAGAGGTATGTCAGGATCGTGCCAAATGGAAGTCCGTAATCTCTGCCTACCCCTCTGGGTGACAGGCGTGAGTGTTTATGTTATGTTATGTTATGATATTCCACTTTTCATACAGTTTATTTAGATTTAGCAGGGCCCTAACGTAGGAATAGTTTTAATAATGATTATATACTCACACTACAGTGTGATTTAAATAAGTATGCTGAAGTTTATTCACTTAAAAGAAGGATACTATTTCAATGGCATTAGCTTCTTTTAGATTTGTTAAGATTTAAAATGAATAATATAGTTTAAGTTTAAGAATATAAAAAAAAATTGTAAACACCTTATAATATTTTTGATAACTATTTTGTTTTAAAAACTGTATTTTCAGTCTAGTGAATTAATAGTTATATATGAAAATTTTAAAAGTTATGCAGTAATGATAGGCGAACTAAAATTATTTCACAACAAAAACTTAAAGATTCAATACAATTACGTAAGGAATTTGATGATTGTTTAATAAATTTAAATACAGAGATAGAAAGTAATTTTTTTAAATTACGATGTTTACGATATTTTATTTTTATTTTATTATGTTATAAATATGATATAGTAGGTATAAGAATTTTAATATTTTAAAATAATGTACAATTTTTTATACACCAAGTTATGTTACATTTAAAAAAAATATTTTTGTGAATGATTTTTTTTCTCTTTGCCGATGGGCGTGTAGTGTGTGCTTATATATATGTAGGATAGAATAAGAGAGAGTTAGTAATAAACCTACAGTCAAGACCACTAGACGTATTATCATTTATTCCCCGAATCTCCCCACATTACAGCGCGTACGTGTGCGTGCGTGCGTGCGCGCGCGTGCGTGCGTGCGTGCGCGTGCGTGCGTGCGTGCGTGCGTGCGTGTGTGTGTGTGTGTGTGTGTGTGTGTATTACTCACCGCTTCTTCATCGGCGGGCGTATAAGGTCGAATAGTGAGCGGCAGTCCATTGAGTATGGTCTGTGGTCTTAGAACATCTCCGGTGCACTCGATCGGAAGAAGCCTCCGCAAGTCCGCTGTCAACCCGCCCCGGAACACCCAGGGCTCTTGAGCACCACTCTCGAACGCTTCGCGCCAACCCTTCGAGAACCCTTAAGAAAAAATCAGATAACATTATAAATAAAAATAAAGAATATAGAATACACGGTAAGAAGAAATAATGAGATCGCATGGACCTAGAAGAGAGCTAGCCTGTTTTTAGATAACTACGTTACGGATCTTAACAATGTCAACCGAAGCCATTTGAGATAAAATACTCAAGATATATAGTTAGATTATATTTTGTTTGTTCGCTTGTCTAGTGACAATCCAAACTTTACCACTTTCACATTTCTTTCTAATTTTATATGGCAATAGATAGCATTTAACATTTTTAAGATGAATTAATGTCATAAATGGAGGAGGCAAACGAGCACGCGGCTCACCTGATGGTAAGTGATCACTGTCGCTTATGAAAATCCACAATACCAGGGGAGTTGTAGGTACGTTGCCGGCCTTTTAGGAAGAAGAAGGCTATTATCTTGAAAGCCCCTAAGTCGTATCGGCCCGGAAAAACCGTTGGCGACAGTAAATTTCATAGTTTGGTCGTGCGAGGCAAAAAGTTACGTGTAAATCGCACAGTAGTGGACCGCTAGCCATCAAGATGATGAGGATGGAATTTCGAGTTCTGTCGCAGTGTACGATGGTGGAACTCAGCAGCTGGAATTAATTCGAACAGTTCTTTTGATAACTTCTCGGGGTATATGCGGTAAAAGCAGCATAGAGATTCAACAAATCCAATCGGTCAATCCGACAAATTAGATCAGTCGGAAAGAACTTGATCTCGATCGAAGGAGTTGTACTGGGTCTCCGCCAGAGATCAAACAATCTTTTTTATGCCAGATGATGGAATAGAAGCATGCACCATCGACTACGACCTTAATACTCCGATCTGTAAAATAACTGGTGACCCAATTGCATAACTTCTCGGGAAGCCCAAAGGAGGAAAGCTTAGAAAGAAGCGCTTTGTGCCAAACCCGATCGATGGCCCTCGGTATGTCTAAACCTATCTGCTAGGGCCTCTTCCCTTGGTGTCGACTGCCACCGCCCATCAGTGAGTCAGGTAGACGAGAAGATCACCAGCTAAGCTACCTCAACGGAAACCATATTGACGGCCACTAATCAGTTGATCCTCTTAAAGATACCATGGTTTCAAGGTACATGAGCTGGCAGTTAATAATTAGGATATATTAGGATAAGGATTCCATTATTTTGGAGAACAAGGTGATTGCAATAGGTTCGTCTATCTTCATACCACGTAATCTTCATACCACCCCAATCCGCTGACTTATAGTTCCACACACGTCGACTATCTACAGATCGTGTCTGCAATGAGCATGAGCACCGTACTGATTCGAAGAGCCAAGAGGGGCATCGACGGCGACCTGATAGTCGTCGGACTGAGAGGTCAGCAGCAGCATTTGGAACCCACGTAGGCGACGTGACCAGTTGCGTCAGACCATATGCCAAGGCAAATTCGTAAACATATCTCCCCACTTGATGGGTACGAGAACCGATCCGTTCGGTGTAGTGGGCGTTGATGGGATTTGTTTAGTAGGGAATTTGTAGCCATTTGGACGTGGCCGATCAGTCGATCTGTCTCGGCATTAACGCTGTGGGACCTATAAGTGCACCCATAGACGCGGGGGTGGTCATCTCCGCCTATACGCAGCCACAAGATGGACTGGTCCCTGCCCTCAAGACTACAGAGGCGACAAGAACAGATATCCTCGCTAACGTAACAAACTGCGGCCCAAGACAGAAAGAAGTGTGAGAAAGTGCAAGGCCAGCTTAGCCATTTCGTAATGATGGTGGACGGCGTTAAGGTTTGAAAGAATTGCCCATTGCAACCCTTGTGTTGTATAAATCCACAGTGAGCATGAGAAGGGGTGCCGTAGTGAATTTGCTCCGTTTGCCTCGTGTAGTATGTACAGAGCGGAATTGTTATGACATCGCAGCTGACGGTACCGTAGACAAAGAAGTTTATTATGTTTATCTATTATGTCACATAAACATGATGACTATTTTTTGTCAAATTGAGTGAAACTAAGTAAGTACTTTGTTGTCCTATAGACAGAAATTGAGAGCAAACAAGTATGTAAAATGCATATTATAAAATAATTTATTTAGTAAAGTGAAATAATAATAGTGAATAGAAACGTGTCCGATACAATTATAAAAGATTATAATAAATTTTTCATAGTTTAATTTTACATTAAAAATATTTTAAATACGTAAAACATTACGAAGGCGTGTTATCGGTACTAATAAGGCGACGCTTGAGGTGCGCAGTGAGGGAACGCGGCGGGAGGTAACGGCATTCTTGGAGTGAATATGTAGTATCTCTGTATAACTTATTAATACTAATAGTAAAGAGTATGATTTAAAATGATAAAATCAAAACTTACATGTGTAACTTCCTTGTGTATTGGCAGTTATATTTGAAGGGAATTTGCCCAGTTCTGAAAAAAAATTACTGTATAAATAAATATTTATTCTTTTCTTTTTTCATTTTCATTTAGTATTAAACAAACACTTAAAGAATAAACTATCCGGACAGCGCGGCGTTTAGCATACAAGCGTATTCCTCCGTTTTCTCCTTGAATAAAATATATAATTATATAGCTAAATGTTAAACTTAAGTTTTAATATATAAATAATATACCGTTATCGCAGTTTTTGAGAATAAGAGTAAATAAGGCTTCTATTTTTATTTGAAATTGTCACAAATTGAATGTAATTTATGGGCAACAACTATGAGTATGCGCGCTCCTTTGTTTGCGATTCAATTAGAGTTTTTGCTGATCTAGCGACCCTTACGAATGTGTGGGTGCTTAGTAAAATAGTAGGCGTAAGATATTTATGAATGACAATCACTTAAAACAATGCATTACTACGCATTTTAAATTTAAAAGATAAATCTGCAAATATGGCCGGTTATTGCAAAATAAACCCTGTATGTTATACATTATAAAATTTATAATCCTTCAAAAATCGCTGAAATTGGCCACTTATATCTCGTCCTAAAAAAAGAACAAAAATTTTACATAAAGAAAAGGCACCTATATGAACAAATAAATTCTTTATTTGTCACAAATTTTTTAATAAATTAATAGAACCTTAGCTTCTAAACTAGTTGTAAAAATGTATCTTAGAAACCAGTGCCTTCCCCTTTTAGTAGTACAACTACAATAGATTTAGACGACATAAAATTAAACCTTTCCATAAATATGTATTTTTTTTAATTCTTTAGGTGATCTAAATCATATTACTTTCTCAATGTTTTTATAAAGTTCAATTCATGTAAAAAGTTATATTAAATATTTCCTCTCCTATTTGGGTATCGTTAGGGGTGGAACATTCTCTCAAAGTTTACAAAAGGCCGCCTATTTAAAAAAAAATTACATACATTTGAACTAAAAGTTTGTCTAAACAGTGCGCGCGTTTGTGTTTGTTTGTTGCGAAGGGATTTGTTGGTTTTGAAGCATACATGTTGGCCGAAAGTCTTGTCTAGTGAAAGCGACAATAAGGGCGACTGACCGAGCCAGCGCAGGAAGGCAGTGAGCAGCGCCAACACAGCGCACAGCTCCCATACGTAGGGCTGCAGCTCGGCGTTCAGCTCGCGTTTATAGTCCAGGTGACAATAAGCGACAGGAAACAGTGCGGGACTGACCGAGCCAGCGCAGGAAGGCGGTGCGCAGCGCCAGCACGGAGCACAGCTCCCACACGTAGGGGTGCAGCTCGGCGTGCAGCTCGCGGTTATAGTCCAGGCGACAATAAGCGACAGGAAACAGTACGGGACTGTCCGATCCAGCGCAAGAACGCGGTGAGGAAACAGCGCCAGCACGGTGCACAGCTCCCACACGTAGGGCTGCAGCTCGGCGTGCAGCTCGCGGTTGTAGTCCAGGCGACAATAAGCGACAGGAAACAGTACGGGACTGTTTCCTGTCCAGCGAAGGAACGCGGTGAGCAGCGCCAGCACGGCGCACAGCTCCCACACGTAGGGCTGGAGGTCGCGGTTGTAGTCCAGGCGACAATAAGCGACAGGAAACAGTGCGGGACTGGCTGAGCCTGCGCAGGAACGCGGTGAGCAGCGTCAGCACGGCGCACAGCTCCCACACGTAGGGCCGCAGCTCGGCGTGCAGCTCGCGGTTGTAGTCCAGGCGATAATAAGCGTCAGGAAACAGTGCGGGACTGACAGAGCCAGCGTAGGAACGCGGTGAGCAGCGCCAGCACGGCGCACAGCTCCCACACGTAGGGCTGCAGCTCGGCGTGAAGCTCGCAGTTATAGTCCAGGCGACAATAAGCGACAGGAAACAGTGCGGGACTGACCGAGCCAGCGCAGGAAGGCGGTGAGCAGCGTCAGCACGGCGCACAGCTCCCACACGTAGGGCTGCAGCTCGGCGTGCAGCTCGCGGTTGTAGTCCAGGCGACAATAAGCGACAGGAAACAGTGCGGGACTGACCGAGCCAGCGCAGGAAGGCGGTGAGCAGCGCCAGCACGGCGCACAGCTCCCACACGTAGGGCTGCAGCTCGGCGTGCAGCTCGCGGTTGTAGTCCAGGCGACAATAAGCGACAGGAAACAGTGCGGGACTGACCGAGCCAGCGCAGGAAGGCGGTGAGCGGCGCCAGCACGGCGCACAGCGCCCACACGTAGGGCTGCAGCTCGGCGTGCAGCTCGCGGTCATAGTCGAGGCGACAATAAGCGACAGGAAACAGTGCGGGACTGACCGAGCCAGCGCAGGAACGCGGTGAGCAGCGCCAGCACGGCGCACAGCTCCCACACGCAGGGCTGCAGCTCGGCGTGCAGCTCGCGGTTGTAGTCCAGGCGACAATAAGCGACAGGAAACAGTGCGGGACTGATCGAGCCAGCGCAGGAAGGCGGTGAGCAGCGCCAGCACGGCGCACAGCTCCCACACGTAGGGCTGCAGCTCGGCGTGAAGCTCGCGGTTGTAGTCCAGGCGACAATAAGCGACAGGAAACAGTGCGGGACTGACCGAGCCAGCGCAGGAAGGCGGTGAGCAGCGCCAGCACGGCGCACAGCTCCCACACGTAGGGCTGCAGCTCGGCGTGCAGCTCGCGGTTGTAGTCCAGGCGACAATAAGCGACAGGAAACAGTGCGGGACTGACCGAGCCAGCGCAGGAAGGCGGTGAGCAGCGCCAGCACGGCGCACAGCTCCCACACGTAGGGCTGCAGCTCGGCGTACAGCTCGCGGTTGTAGTCCAGGCGACAATAAGCGTCAGGAAACAGTGCGGGACTGACAGAGCCAGCGCAGGAAGGCGGTGAGCAGCGCCAGCACGGCGCACAGCTCCCACACGTAGGGCTGCAGCTCGGCGTGCAGCTCGCGGTTGTAGTCCAGGCGATAAAAAGAGACAGGAAACAGTGCGGGACTGACCGAGCCAGCGCAGGAAGGCGGTGCGCAGCGCCAGCACGGCGCACAGCTCCCACACGTAGGGTTGCAGCTCGGTGTACAGCTCGCGGTTGTATTCCAGGCGACAAAGCAAAACAGTGCGGGACTGACCGAACCAGCGCAGGAAGGCGAGGTGAGCAGCGCCAGCACGGTGCACAGCTCCCACACGTAGGGCTGCAGCTCGGCGTGAAGCTCGCGGTTGTAGTCCAGGCGACAATAAGCGACAGGAAACAGTTCGGGACTGACCGAGCCAGTGCAGGAACGCGGTGAGTAGCGCCAGCACGGCGCACAGCTCCCACACGTAGGGCTGCAGCTCGGCGTGCAGCTCGCGGTTGTAGTCCAGGCGACAATAAGCGACAGGAAACAGTGCGGGACTGACCGAGCCAGCGCAGGAAGGCGGTGAGCAGCGCCAGCACGGCGCACAGCTCCCACACGTAGGGCTGCAGCTCGGCGTGAAGCTCGCGGTTGTAGTCCAGGCGACAATAAGCGACAGGAAACAGTTCGGGACTGACCGAGCCAGGGCAGGAAGGCGGTGCGCGGCGCCAGCACGGCGCACAGCTCCCACACGTAGGGCTGCAGCTCGGTGTGCAGCTCGCGGTTGTATTCCAGGCGACAATAAGCGACAGGAAACAGTTCGGGACTGACCGAGCCAGCGCAGGAAGGCGGTGAGCAGCGCCAGCACGGTGCACAGCTCCCACACGTAGGGCTGCAGCTCGGCGTGAAGCTCGCGGTTGTAGTCCAGGCGACAATAAGCGACAGGAAACAGTTCGGGACTGATCGAGCCAGTGCAGGAAGGCGGTGAGCAGCGCCAGCACGGCGCACAGCTCCCACACGTAGGGCTGCAGCTCGGCGTGAAGCTCGCGGTTGTAGTCCAGGCGACAATAAGAGACAGGAAACAGTGCGGGACTGACCGAGCCAGCGCAGGAAGGCGGTGAGCAGCGCCAGCACGGCGCACAGCTCCCACACGTAGGGCTGCAGCTCGGCGTGCAGCTCGCGGTTGTAGTCCAGGCGACAATAAGCGACAGGAAACAGTGCGGGACTGACAGAGCCAGCGTAGGAAGGCGGTGAGTAGCGCCAGCACGGCGCACAGCTCCCACACGTAGGGCTGCAGCTCGGCGTGCAGCTCGCGGTTGTAGTCCAGGCGACAATAAGCGTCAGGAAAGAGTGCGGGACTGACCGAGCCAGCGCAGGAAGGCGGTGAGCAGCGCCAGCACGGCGCGCAGCTCCCACACGTAGGGCTGCAGCTCGGCGTGCAGCTCGCGGTTGTAGTCCAGGCGACAAAAAGCGTCAGGAAACAGTGCGGGACTGACCGAGCCAGCGCAGGAAGGCGGTGAGCAGCGCCAGCACGGCGCACAGCTCCCACACGTAGGGTTGCAGCTCGGCGTACAGCTCGCGGTTGTATTCCAGGCGACAACCAAAACAGTTCGGGACTGACCGAGCCAGCGCAGGAAGGCGGTGAGCAGCGCCAGCACGGCGCACAGCTCCCACACGTAGGGCTGCAGCTCGGCGTGAAGCTCGCGGTTGTAGTCCAGGCGACAATAAGCGACAGGAAACAGTGCGGGACTGACCGAGCCAGCGCAGGAAGGCGGTGAGCAGCGCCAGCACGGCGCACAGCTCCCACACGTAGGGCTGCAGCTCGGCGTGAAGCTCGCGGTTGTAGTCCAGGCGACAATAAGCGACAGGAAACAGTGCGGGACTGACCGAGCCAGCGCAGGAAGGCGGTGAGCAGCGCCAGCACGGCGCACAGCTCCCAAACGTAGGGCTGCAGCTCGGCGTGCAGCTCGCGGTTGTAGTCCAGGCGACAATAAGCGACAGGAAAAAGTGCGGGACTGACCAAGCCAGCGCAGGAAGGCGGTGAGCAGCGCCAGCACGGCGCACAGCTCCCACACGTAGGGCTGCAGCTCGGCGTGCAGCTCGCGGTTGTAGTCCAGGCGACAATAAGCGTCAGGAAAAAGTGCGGGACTGACCAAGCCAGCGCAGGAAGGCGGTGAGCAGCGCCAGCACGGCGCACAGCTCCCACACGTAGGGCTGCAGCTCGGCGTGCAGCTCGCGGTTGGCAGCGCCGCCTAACCTGCGCGCAAGTCTCCGAGCGCGCCCCGCCCACCACCCGAACCGCCGCAGCCGCCGCCGCCACTCGCCCGTCTTACCACCATACCACATACCACGTTATAACACACATTTTCTTCAAAGCATAAGAGTGACAAACGAGCACGCAGTCCACCTGATGATAAGTGAGCCATAAACATCTACATCTATTCTTGATTAAGAATCAAAATGCAGATGTATTGCCACCCCTGAGGATTAAGACGGTATGCCGTGTTTCTAGTAGAAAGTCTCAGATTCTCTACACTCATAATACGAAACACATTATTTTACGCTTGTATTCTGTGAGAGTGTGGTTCTCATACTCTCGAGCCGACCCCTTTGTGCTAAAACCATAATATAAATGCAGCATGCCACAACCACGTGAAAACACACACATTACACATAAATTACCTCATAGAGCGAATGTTTTTTTATAGGATAGGGTGACAAACAAGCACACAGTCCAACTGATGGTAAGTGGTTGCTGTGGCCTATAGACATCTACATCTGTCCTCGATTACAAATCAAAATGCAGATGCGTTGTCACCCGTGAGGACTAAGATGGAATACCTCGTTTCCCGTAAAAAGGGACTCCGGTTCTCTACTCACCATACGAAACACAGCAGCATTAAGCTACTATTTGACGCTGGTATTCTGTGAGAGCGTGATCCCTCCCCGGTCGAGCCGACCCGATGTTGACGATGTTTTACAATGACTGCCTCATTCACCGTGTAGTGGTGGTATAAAACTGTCCACTACCCCGTATTGTCCCGTGGATGTCGTAAAAAGTAACAGAGGGAAAGAAACCAAGAAAGTGGCAGCAGCGTTTTTCTCATAACAACTAAACAAACTACGGTTGCCAGCACTCGAGAGACCCTTTTTACTGAAAACGAGGCATTCCATCTTACTCATCAGTGGTGACAACGCATCTGCATTTTGACTCATAATCAAGGATAGATGTAGATGTCCATGGGCCACAGGAACCACTTACCAACAGGTGGATTGTGTGTTCGATTGTCACCCTATCCTATAAAAAAAAAACACGTCAGCAAAGCGTGGCGACTCTGGCAAAGCCTGGATGAGGTCATCTATGAGAGAATTCTATGTCAAGCAGAAGACTTTGATTGTCTGTTACGGTGATTGCCTCATTGATCTAGTGATCGAAAACGAACGATGTTCCCCTAGCGGAAACAGTGCGCTCGATGTAGGGGCTCGATGATGCCTACTAATGTATCTACCGTCGAGGGCGGTAACTCAGGGGTAACAAGTACAGACACAGACACGTGCTAAAAATTTAACAAAGCGTTACAAACGGAGATCCAGGGACCACTCAAATACGCTGATGGTGACCACCGTGGCGTTTTAGTCAGTAGAAGTCCGGCTTAACCTTTTCGTTGCGAGAATTTCCATTATGATTTATCCACGATAAAATAGGGACCGTAAACGCGACTATTGATCATGTGGTCTTGGGTTCGAATCTCGGGTTGGACCAAAAACCTTAATTAAGTTTTAATTACCTCGTTGGTCTAGTGGTCGTAAACGTGGTTAAACTATAAGGTCACGGGTTTGAATTCCGGGTTGTTCCAAAATCAGTTTTTTGGGTTTTCCTGTCAAGAAATTCTCTGCAGTATGAAATTGGCGGTGTTTTATTATCGAGCCTTGGGAAACACGTAAAGCCGTCGATCCTGTGCCTGATCTCTCTCCACTCGTGTTCATCTTATCGGACTATGAGAGTGAGGCAATGGAGAGAGCACCTGTGTTTGTGCATATACTCTACTACTACTCACTATACTTCCGTCCTGCAAGGATGGCTAGTCTCTGAACTAGAAAACTAGCCACCGCGAACGAAATTAGGTCTGGAGAACATTATTTAATTTAGTGGGTGATGAGTATTGATACAGAATTATAAATAATATGTGTAATATAATAAGGCTGTATGATAGTAGCCTTTGCCTTTTATTATTGTATAATAGTTTACCAAACTCAGTGGAACATCAGTTAGCTACCAAGACCTCCTTACTGACATTTTTCACTAAACTGGGGTTTTATTAATTCTCCACATTACATAAACATTCTATCACACACAATAAAAAAATCTCCTATGTAGAATTCGGGTATTTTTATTATCGTAGGAATGTCTCCTAAATATGCGAGCGAAAACTTTGGCGGCAATTGCTTTTTTTATAGAAGAGGGGGCAAACGAGCAATAAACAACCGCAACACCAGGGAATTACAGATGCGTTGCCGACCCTTTAGAAAGGAGTAAGCTCTTTTCTTGAAGGTCAACTTCAGCGTGTCTTGCAACCTACATAAACTATGGTGTGTGCCAAATCGATTGAGAAAAACGGACAATGACCTCATATGGTCAGTAACGCAGCAATTCATTTAATAACGGTTTCATATTAAAAAAAAATGTGAAGCAATATAATCACTATATTGAGGTTTTGCGAATTCTTCCCTTTAAAATAAACAAAACGCGCGTTACGTCAGTTCGTTCTAAAAGAAACGTGACAACGGCAGCCAGAGATGCGTCACCTTTTTTGGGCTGGTCCGCCATTTAGTTTTCATTTGTGTTCGGATAGCATGGATGATAGAATTGACCATTCTGCAGATCGCTTTATAATTAATGTTACAGACAGTTCATCTGAATACACATCAAGGGAAGATACGAGTGATGATTGCACCGAATAAAAATAAAGTTCTTATATAATATTGAAAATAAAGTGTTATCTTTTGCATAAGCACGTACTTATTCTGTGTCGTTATCACTCGTATCTTTATATGTGTTATAAATTAATGCTTTTTGTTGTTAAATGAATAAAGTACTTTATAATAACAATGGATTATTTTTCTTCTACAGCGATCTTTTACATAACTTTTAAATAATAGTTAATAAATATATATTATATAATTATAAATAAAGAAAGTACTACATATAAAATGTGCCTATATATTGATGGTTTGTAACTCCTGGTTAAACGACCGAAAGGTCATTGTCCGTTTTTCTCAATCGATTTAGCACATACTATAGTTGCGCGTTTCGTGCGCCCTCCGATTTAAAATTAAGTGTTATTTTTTTCTATTTATATTAGAATTAGTATAATTCATTGTTTTTGAGTATTCGGAATTGTTCACTACGAATAAATCATTCATAAACAAAAAATATGTAGATAGAAGTTAACAGTTGTAATATTTTTTAAATTAAGATTTTTTGCTTGGATGCCATTTAAGCCATGTTCTTATTTCATGCAGTATCTTCGTTTTAATATATTTTTCTTTACAATATGCTGATGCTCCACACATATCACTGCCAATCACAAGCCTGGGCATTTTTGATCTGACGAAGGCTGGTATGGTTATTCTGCCATCCGCCTAAAAAGCATAAGCCTAAAGGTCTCCTTTTTTAACTGAAATTTCCCTCAGTCAGCCTGTACGAAATCTACGGGATAAGAGGGAGGGAGTGGCAGTATTCTAAGCCGCTGCCACATAGCACAGTCAAATATACATAATTAAAATAATTGGTCAAGAATACATTAATTATAATATAACAGGTCATGTGAAGATTATCAACCGTAATCCACCGTTGTATTTGCGAAAGAGCATCATTTATATCGTAAAAGTTAGTTTTGTTACTACCACTACTACTGCACTAAATATTAGAGAAGTTTCATCTGCAATCAGCACTATTGTGCAAAATTAGGACACAAAGTACGGCACATCGTTAATATAAGCCATAGAAAAGGACCTAAAATAGAACCTAGCCATACACCCATTTGAATGAATGACCCGACTGATTTTACTCCATTTATTTTAACCTTTTGTATGCGAACCGTCCAATATGATCTTATAATTTCATGAGATGTATCCTTTATTCCGTAGTGAGACAGCTTACATGGGACGATTTCGTAATCAACACAGTCAAACGCTTTGGAAACATCACAGAAAATACCAAAAGCGTTTTGATTATCTTCCCAAGCTCTACAAATGCGATTAAAATGGCCTTGACCTATTTCCTAAAATACTGATTAATTTACGCTTTAGCACTGGTTTGGTAGAGAGAAACCCAGTAGGACTTTTTTTATGATTCTGCGTTATATTATTCTTAACTTTATAATTTATAGAAGACAGTAAACCTACCTCAGATTTGTTCCCTTTAGGCAACATGCTAGCCGCATGTGTGATGAGCCAGTTGAAGTCGTGAAGAAGCCTCAGGCCACGCGAGCCGTGCTCGAAGGGCAAGTAGAACAAATCGCACAGCAACATCAGGTCGTCCGTCGTCAGCTCACTCGTTTCAACCGCCGGTTCGTCTATGACACTGTGATACAACATTCACACTCGAGAAATATTCAATTTCTTGTTTGTTATCAGAAAGTAATATTTCCATGCCAGATTCTTTTTATTTATTATAAGCTAGAGCTTAAACACAATCGTACCTGGTGGTATGTGGCAGTGAGGCCCTAAATGGGCGTAACAAAAGCCTATTCACTCTTATCTTGAAGACGGCCAGTTTGTATATGAATGAATTATTCCAATTCTTTGATATACGCTTTATGAAAGACTAAGTAAACTGTTTAGTTCGAATGCGTAGAATATCGACAGTAAATGGGTTAAAACCCGCCGACAGCCTGTCAACGGAAATGGGTGGGAGGAATTAAGACATTTAAATCCTGTGCACACTCTCTGAAGTGCAGTCCTATAAAATACTGCTGCTGCCTCTACTACTCTGCGGCTGTGCTCGAGGCTGACAAGATGAATGATGCTGACCTCTCTTGGCAATCCTAACATATGAACCAATGGTTCGTTATGTGTTAAGGATGGGTGACATAGTTACACCTCTTGTGAGCCGACGATCAAGTCTTATTTGCGTCTTCGGTTGGCGCCTAGCAAATGATGGTTATAATGAACATATCATTAAAAGAAAGGGAAATGATAGAGAACCCCAGTAAGATGTTAGTTTTTGAAAAACAAGAAAGTAAAAAAAATTAATTAAGTATATTAATGATTTTGTCAGTGGCGAAGCTAGAGTTCCAAGCTAGGGCAAGCCCAAGATACATATAAATTGATGAAAATATAGATTGTTGTTTTAAGCAGTTTTATAAAAATACACCAATCTTGATCTGTCTCCACGCTTCAGTTTCAAATACAGTGCTGACAAGGACGTGTATAACAAAGCACACAGAAGGCATACCACTGCTAGATAGATTGTATTACATATCAGCAATTGCATAGATTCGGTGGCTTTGAAGAAAGCCGTTTGGGTTTGTTTAAGCGAAAAAAAAAAATATTTACATCCAATACAATACATGAACAAAAGTAAAACACGAACAAAGTACAAACAAACTATGTACAAAGTTAAAAAAAAATATTTACATTCTAATGGATAAGAGATAAGTGGAATCGTCTCGCTTTCTTATGAAAAGATTTAATTACGTCCATGTAAAATGTTGGTGAACGTTTAAATTGTACCAATAACTGTTTTTAATTGCGATAATTGATAAGTCTGAAATACACTCTTAACCGTGTATACTATCTCAACAAAGTTTAAAGATTTCCTCTTCGAATATCACTTTAACACACTTCAATTCATCACAAGGAACACTATTATCCTCCATTTTTATTTAAAATCTTTAAAAAAACATAAATTTTGAACTCGTAATATTAAATAGCTTAAGACAAGCACACAGAGTAAATAAACATTGAAACGTGAAATGAACTTGCAAACGTATTGCCCGCGCACCTCCGCTTTTAACAAATTTATTCCCAAAAGCCTGGCTTTAAATCTCTATACTATGCTCTATTAAAACTCATTTTTTATGACAGCAGCAGTATCGCTAAGGCAATACCTCTGTCTACGGGCAATACGAGGTCATCGGTCGACATGTGTCGAACAGTGGAGTGCGCGGGAAATTTGAAATAGCTTGAAACATTTTAAGAGTTATTTTATTAGTTGATATTATTGATTGATTCAGGTTTAATAAGGCAAGCCCGGCTTTTCGGCTTTAATGGAAGCTTCGCCACTGGATTTTGTGTATTTAGGATTTATGTTTAGCAGGGATGGTAGACATGACAAGGATATAGAACGAAGAGTGATTTTTTTTATAGGATAGGTTGACAAACTAGCACACAGTCCACCTGATGGTAAGTGGTTGCTGTGGCCCACACATCTACATCTATCCTCGCTTACAAATCAAAATGCAGATGCGTTGTCACCAGTGAGGACTACGATGGAATGCTTCGTTTCCAGTAAAAAGGGTCTCCGGTTCTCTACACTCGCCATACGAAACAAAGCTACTATTTTACGCTGGTATTCTGTGAGAGCGTGGTCCTTCTCCGGTCGACCCGACCCATTCGTGTTACAACTATACTACTAATATAACTGCAGCATGGCTCTACCTCATATAAAACACATACAAATACAGAACATAGAGTAAATAGGGCTCTGCACTCTATTGTAGGCAGTCATAATGTATCAAAAAAGACACGTATGGATGAGTTGTTAAGGGACATTCAATAAAAATTCACTTAACACAATAAAAGAGTTGAGGTCTGAACAGGCGCCAAGATTTGTAGCAGTTCCAAGAATGTTGTACATACCTATAGATCCTATTAAAAAAATTGCTATGGGGCTTGCATTATTCACAACTCAACTCTTTTAGGCGAAGCCGAAAAGAGTTGAGATGTGAATAAGATTGGTGGGATATTATATAATTGGTACAAATAAAGAGATAGCTCTCCCACCATTCATTGGAAATCATATAATCTTCCCGTATTACCTTAGTCGTCTCTTACGACACCCATGGGATGAGACTGAGTGATGGCATCGGTTGTGAATTAAATGTTTAGGGATGCAGGTATCTTTACTATGATTATCTTCCCCACTTGACGCCCAGTAAATCAGTATACACCATTAAAGTGATATGTAATACGCACTAGAAGAGACGCCGAGATTTGTTTGGGTGTAATACACATTAGAGCTCACGGGCTCAAATTTCTTTCTTTCTTTCTCTTTTCCCTTAGTGTGCACCAAAAAAACTCGATGCAAAGCAACTGCCGCACAGATTTTGTTCGCGATGTTTGTTCTAGTACGTAATACATAATATATTGCTTCAATGTTTTCAACCTCTATTAGTCTTATTGCAGAACTTTCATGTCAAATAAATGATTGAAACATACTCGTCGGTCGGTTCAATTGGTTCCACGATCATATCACCGCTGAGTGGACTGTTGCTTGGTTCCACTAGCATGGAACCGTTCTGGAAATGAAAATTAAAAAATGAAGTATAGTATTTATTTCCAAGACCGATGACAGGAGTTTTGGCGGGAACTTGACCGGCGACGGGTTGCTGCTCTTATTTTATTGTAAAAATTGTGGTTCTATTTCAATTTTGATACGTGAGGTTGGTGCAGTTTCGGATATTAAGTGTCTGTGCATGTGAAAAAAGTGCTCCGATGGTGATATGAACCTCAAGGTAATGTGCTTAGGCGCTTTGTACTAACTATAGTTTATGGCAATTTGTTACCATTGATTCCAGTGACAAGTTGGACTGAAGTTATAGAACGTACCGAAAAACGCATATTGCAACGTATTTTTTTTACAGTCTTTTCCGGCGTGTGTGCGACAGTGTGCGAGCGAGAGGTGAATAAAGTAGACGCCATTTTCAATCCCATTCTTTAACAGCACGGGTAGTATCTATTACACTTTTACTCATATTTACAGAACTCTATTTTTAATTAAAGATTTCACTTCTTGCCCATCATATAGCACAATTGCGTTGTAATGAGATTAAGTCCAATATTATATCTTTTGATAAAAATAAAAATGTGATTGAAAAAATTAAACATTTTTATTATTTTGAGTTATCAGAAAGATGCCGCTAGCAGACTCTTGAATCGGTTTCTATTTCGATACCCAAGTGAATATAGCGGATAGTAGATTATCTTACGCTGCCACAAAAAAATAGCGGTTGCCCACCCGCTTGCCAGTCGTGGCAACTGACAAAAGTTCCCTTAAGAGAAAATCTATAGAGGAAGCCCATGTACAGCAGTGTACTTTTGATAGGTTGTAATGAATAATAAATAGATGACGATTAAACATGTCCTCCTTACATGAATTTCAGAAAATATAGTCTTACCTCACTGAGACCGTCATTCATGACGACGTCAGAATCGGTGGCGGTTGTCGACGGTGGATCCACGTCCAAAGGCTCGATGCCCACTTCAGGAATGGACGGCCGACTTGGACTTAGTGTTTGGGGAGTATCTGTAATTAAGTTATGTACCAATATTGATATAAATTACACCTGTAGAGGCATTTTTAAAAAGGTGGACCTAACATGAAACCATGTTGGATTCCTATTTTATAAACAGAATGGGGCAGGTATTCTTTCTTTCTTTCTTTGTTAATGGAATAAAAAGAGAAAAAATAAAACATATATAAACCCATAGGCATAATAATATACCTACGTCCGATGAATAATACATAACAATGTAGGAAGCAGCATGAATTGAGAGGGTAAGAGAAAATATGTATCACAATTTTATTTGTTATATATAAGAAATTATTGTCAGAGAGTTCGAATACATTCAGGAGTGATTGTGAACATTTTTTTGTGTGGTTAGCACAATGCTGTGTTGATCCCTACTTTAATGTATAGTAATAAAAAGAAGCAAAAAGCACATTTATGCTGCAAAAGTGAGTGGCAGAGTCGCTAAGAGATGCCCTAGAAGAAAATTTTGGAAATTTATATTTAAGATATAAATTTAAGAGTACCCTTAACTGATGAGCATGTATGCATAGATAAATCGATAGATATTAAATAAGCAAGAGAGGTGTGACAGAATCGTTCCAAATAGAAGTCTGTAATCCTCATCTACCCCTCTGGATATGAGAGTTTACGTTATACATTCTGTTGAATAATGCAAAGTAAAGTAAATATTACCTCCAACACTCATTTCTCCATTCCTAAGTACTTCCACTGGCGGTTCTACATCATCTACAATTATTGGATCAGTATCATGTTCTGCTTCTTTATTCTTCTTCATTTCTTCTATGAAGCTCGTACTTTCTAACACACTATCGTTTGATACGGTCTCGTTTCCATCTCCAATCTTCTCAATCATATTCTGATCTGCCATCTTCTCGCTGTTGCCTTCTATTGCTTTGAGGCCGAGAATTGGCACTGGTAGTGTGGAAACTGGTATCTCTGATGGTAAAGACATGTTGGAGCTGGCGATTGGAATGATTGGATTTGGTATGGACTCATTTAATATCACTTTAGTCGGTGAAACCAGTGAATTCATAACAGGATTTGATACTGGATTGTAATTTTCCGCTGGTGAGACCTGGAAACACCTTCACCATTATCAACCCATCTACAAAAAATATTACATTATAAATATGGACTTGACAGTTCTAAGAGATTGTTACTTCATTGATTAGTAAGAACAAGCGTATCTAACTTGGTGCGCATATGGATAGTGGCACGAGCCTTGAATATAACGTTTTTTAAATGTTTTAAGATGTTATGAGGAAGATTCTGATGGCCATCTGGAGTTTTAATTTCCCGTCACCTTTACGACATCCACGGATGATGGATTTTCTTACGCCGCTACTAAACTGCGCATTGTTAATTGCCTATAAGTTTACTTTTCACGAAAGTAGTGCCGCACTGAAAGGGCTCAGTAGCGCCATGGCTATTGTTTGTGTTTATTTATTTATTTAATCCAAAGACTTGTGGCTTACAGAAAATCCAACACGCAACAAGGTTAAATTTTACATGCAAAAATATTTAAAAAAAATTGCATCCAATTATAACAACAAAAATTAATAGTTATCACTTATAAATTAATAATCATAAATTAAACAATTATACAATATTAGTGATATAATGCTACTAAATGTTATTAGTGATATAATGCTAATAAATGCTACTAAAACAAACCAAAGTCGCTGCTAAATGTGCAAATCCTAAATATGAGTACGTGTGGGTTCGTAACTGTAAAATTTATATAAGGAAAGACGATAATTCCCCAAAAATTCACATAAAAAACTTTTTAGATTTAAACAAAATTAAATGACTGTGTTACTTCAAGTTACGACTATTGTTGTTTATCTTAAACGGTGTACTCGTATTGTTCTATAATAGTGTGGCTGAATGTTTTTTAAAATCACATAATGTTACTATTTATATATATTATACAAACATTTTCCAAATACTTTATTTTGTATACTATAGACTTATTATTTTATATACACTATATACTTTATTCTTTATACTATATTGTTATTTATACTTAATATATACTCGTACATACATAAGCTCCTTTTATCGATCTGTGTGGGTAACTCCTCATTTAATATCGGATTCATGCTTACAAAACAACAAAGGTATGGTAATTCCTATAATATTAGTGATGTTGAAAAGTAATCGATTAGATTTGTTTTTCGTTCTAAATTCATATATGGTTACTATTTATATACACATAAACATTTTATATAAATACAAATTACACTTAATACATACATACACATGCAACGATTGCTTGATCAAGAGGATTACCACTAATGTGTTATCTAATATTTATCTACAAAACTACATAAAATTGTTAAGTTCCGACCTTACTACTTTATTTTCAAGTACCTACCGAAATTTAAAGTCTTATTGTGAGTCTAAATTACAGCTTATCATTATAAACAGTAAAGTATTTCGGAACACATTATTTTTGTTTGTTTATGATTCATTTTCACTTTAATTGTTCTTTGTTTTAATAGCCGTTTATAATAATCTAAAAAAGGGTTTAAGCCTGTACTGTACCAAAATGTTCGTGGTTTACGGACGAAATGTAATGAACTATATAACAATATCTTATCTCAAGACTATGATATAATCTTATTGACCGAAACCTAGTTAAAAAGTGATATTTATAATAACGAACTATGTGATCTTAGATATGATGTTTTTCGAAGTGATCGTAATTATTTATTGTCAGGGAAAAAGGTCGGTGGCGGAGTGTTAGTCTGCATACGTCGCGAATTGAGTGCATGTCTATGCGGCCAATGGTCCAGTGCACCTACAACGCATGAGTCGGTGTGCGTGACTTTACCTGCACGTACGCTTGGGTCCTCAGTCGATCTACATATAGCTATAGCGTACATTCCACCTGACTCGAACGTAATATAGAGTGGATTGAATGATATTAAGCATAACTTATCGCATTGCATTGAAAATTATCCCATGGACAATTTTTTACTCGTGGGAGATTTTAACTTACCGTGTTTGAGATGGGACTCCAACAATTGTATTGCACACGTAGACGGTTCATCTTTTATGCATAATTTAGCGATATCTTTCGTTGATGATTTAGGTTACCTCGGTCTTAAGCAATACAATTATAATTGTAACTCAAAAGGTAATATTCTGGATCTATGTTTTTGCAATTTACCATTGGTTGTTAGAGCTTCGTTACCTCTCATAAAGGAAGATATATATCATCCTGCATTAAATATTGAAATACCTGATTTTAGCATACAACCCTTTAAAAAACGTAAACATCCGCGTTTTAACTTTTTCAAATGTGACTATGAGAAGATGAATAATTACTTTAAAAATATTGACTGGCGCTCAGAATTAAATGCCGCCGACACAATTAATGAAGCCGTAGATCTTTTTTACAGTAAATTACATGAATGTTTCTCCATTTACGTACCCATTAACATGTATTCTAACAACCGACATTTTTATTCTGTATGGTATTCTTCTTCACTAATAAAAATCATTCGCGAAAAATGGCGCGCTCATTGTAATTGGAAAAAATACCGTAACCCAAGAGATTATGATGAATTTTCGTTTTTAAGAGCACGACAACACCGTATTCAACTTAATTGTTTTAACTTTTTTACAAACAATGCTGAACAATATATTAGGTCCAATCCTAAACACTTTTGGAAATAAGTCAGTTCGAAAAGGGGCTGTTCCAGTTATCCAAGAAAATTTACACTACGAGGCCAGACATATGACGAGGGTGCAAGTATTTGCTCAGCTTTTAATAAATTTTTTCAAAGTGTTTTTATTACACCTTCATCAAGTAGCCAAACTCAGCCTCGTCAGACATTTGAGTACTCTAGTACGGAATCATTATCCCGCATACATATTACTAGAGAAACAGTTCTTAAATTCCTAAAATCACTTGATAAATCTAAGGGACCTGGAACTGATGGTATTCCCCCTATTGTATTGATTTCATGTGCTGATAGCTTGTCATTGCCAATTACTATTTTGTTTTGTCGTTCTCTCGATGAATGTATTTTCCCAGATTTATGGAAAAAAGCAAATATAATTCCCATACATAAAAAAAGGACCAAAAACCTCAATTGAAAATTACCGTCCGATTTCTATTTTGAACACTATCAGTAAGATTTTTTGAAAAAAATTGTTTACAGCTTCATCTACCCCCTTATAATCCGTGGCATTCCTGATACACAGCATGGCTTCATAAAAGGACGGTCTACGGTATCAAATTTGTCTTTGTTCTCAAGTTATGTCCTCCTGCATATGGAGAATGGTGGTCAGGTGGACGTGGTCTACACTGATTTTGAAAAAGCTTTCGATCGTGTAGACCACGACCTCTTGCTCCGCAAGCTCTATTTGCTTGGAATTCAAGGAGACCTACTCCGCTGGGTGTGCTCCTACCTTTCCAATCGCTCTCAAGCTGTAGTGCTGGGAGGATACAGATCCGACTATGTAACTGTTCCCTCGGGTGTCCCTCAGGGATCGCACCTTGGCCCGCTATTCTACAATGCGTACATCTTTGACATTGCCAACTGTTTTTCTTATTTTAATCACCTATTATATGCATATGATAAAAAAATATATCGGGCAGTTAATTCTGTTGAAGATTGTAAATTGTTACAATACGATTTGGATAAACTGTTTTCTTATTATCAACAAAACAACATCTTCGTTAATACTAAAAAATGTCAGAGTATAAGCTTTACGCGCAAGAAAAGTCCAATTGTTTTTCCTTATAACTTTAATAATCAACTATTAACGCGGGTCAATGATGTACTCGATCTCGGCATTTGTTTTGACTCCAAGATGCTCCTCAATATGCATTATGATAATATAGCAGATAGAGCTTACCGTATGCTTGGATTTGTTCTAAGAACCTGTCAACCGTTTAAAGGTACTTTAGCATTGAAAACGTTATATTTTGCATATGTGAGAAGCATACTGGAGTACGCTAGTCCTATATGGTCGCCTTCATATGAAGTTTATAAGACACGCTTAGAGCGTATTCAGAAAAAGTTTTTAAAATCTCTAAATTTCAGGTGCGACGGCACTGCACACACATTTATGTCTTATCGTGATAATTGTCGTAAATTTAATTTTCTCACGTTAGCGGAACGCCGTGAGATCTTAGACATGGGTTTTTTTGTTCGATATTTTACGCGCTCAACTTGATTGCCCTGCTCTTCTTTCACAAATATCCTTTAATGTACCCCGACGTAGGACTAGGCATACACCTTTACTGGGTGTTCCCTTACATCATACTAATTATGGTAAGAATTGTGTCCTCTCCAGAATGGTTAGAACTTTTAACACAAAATTTTCTCATATTGACCCATTTATCCATTCAAAAAATTTATTTAAGCGAAAGTTAGTACAGGCTTTGACAGTAGACAATTAACCTTTATTGTTTATGTTGGTAGCCTCTGTAGTTTTGTAAATCCGTAGTAATATCTCAAGTTATATGTCTTCAATTCGCGTATATTCTATGTATGTATATTTATTTAAATGTTAGTATATATATACTTGCCTTTTTTATTTAAATGTATAAGTGTTTAATTATAATATGGTTATATGTATATGTGTATATGTATGTGCTTACATGTGTAAATATTATCCAATTGAAGTATAAATAATTTTCTAGGTCAGCCATGACAAACATTTTAAATTTATTTTTGATTTAAGGTTTTGTAATATTTGTTTTTCAACTTTTCATACTTTTGATTTGTGATAAATTGTGAAAAGAGGATGACTATTATTGGCCCTATGTAAAACATATTATATAAGATTTTTTTTCATAGAATGAAGGCTGTTGTTATCCCTAATAAATAATAATAATAATAAAATATGTTTAGCAAATAATAAAAATATACTTTAGCAGCAAAATAGTAATAAACAATAAAATATTAATAATTGTACAATGTTTAAAAAAGAAAAAGATCGCAATCATAAAATGTCAGGCTACGAAATATTTTCTCATATCAATTTATAATGCAATGTCAATAAAAGCTAATTACAATAGATGTCCATATGTGCATGGCCTACTTATAATTGTTCTGGGTTTGAATATTTGTCTATGTGCAGCTAATATATGTAAAACGAAGGCGGATAAAATCACAATGTAACACTTGAAAAAAGAAAAGAAAAATGACTAATTTTTATGATTTGAATAAACATTTATAAAAACCGACGACAAACCCATCAAATCCATCCTCATCGTTCCCTGATAATGCTGCGAGTCAAACCTGGTGGTTTTTATAGTTACTATATAAATAATTTAAATAATTATTGCGAAACTAGTACAAGTGTTCATCCAAATCATAAAAAATGAGGTAGGAGTTTCAAAATGCGGCAATGCAAGCAAGTATAAATTGTAAAAAAAGACTGACCCCGGCGGAGATGATGGGGCGGTCGGGCGAGGCGGAGCAGACGTCTGCCAGCGCCTGCAGCTGGCTGGTGTTGATGGTGGGGATGCTGGGCACGGGCGCGATGGTGCCGCCGCACATGTCCGCCGTGCTGGTGGTGGGCGTGTTGCTGGTGGCCGTCATCAGCGACATGCACGTGTTCACCGACGGCAGGATCGGCACGATCGGCACCGGCGGCACTGAAACACTCACTTAACTCAACATTTAAACCACTTGCAACCAATTTTTAGCGTTAGGAAACGACATAGTTACACAAAAGGGATCTTATACATTCAGGTCAAATCTTAGTTAAATATGCTAAAATTATCCCTAAGAATCTATTTTATAACCAAAAACAAAATGAAACAAATTTTATAGAAGGTACAATAGGCAGTCCTGTCGCTTTTAAAAATATAAAACTGCCTAATTATACATGGTAAAGCCATGCTGCAGCTTTAATATAGTTGTAGCACGAATTGCCCAGCTCAACCAGGGAAGGATCACACTCTCACAGAATACCAGCGTAAAACAACAACTCAATGCTGCTGTGTTTTTCGTATAGTAATTGTGAAGAACCAGGGACCCTTTCTACTTGTAACGAGGCATTTAATCTTAGTCCTCAGAGGTGACAACGCATCTATATGCTCTCTAGTTTGTTAACATTCGATAGATTTAACTTCGCTTAGCATTACCATTTACGTTGAATTTTTAAAATTGAAAATAATTGAAATTTATTCGTAGCTTTATTCGCATAGGTAAATAGACGCTCATTTATTTTTGACCCGCTTTAGTTTTCCATTTACCCTAATCCCGATATTCGTAATATTTATACAAGTGATGCATTCTAAATTTTTCCCGGTCGCTTAATACACGTAGAAGTTGCTTGTTACTACGGAAGTACACTACGCCACGTATACCCACGTCGCGCATAATAAGTTAACTTAGCTACCTTCGAAGAAAAAATTATAATCGTGACAGTGTTTAATTTAACGTCGTTTAGTGGAAGAGTGATAAGGCACTAATAAACATTTAACATTAACGTATTGTGAAACTTTCGTCTTCCACCGTCGTACGATATTGTCCGTGATAATTTAAATACTGATTAGAGTGATACAAGATGTCAGTAAGTGAAAATGAAATTAAAACTCTTTACGCCAAGAGGGACGTACTTTTATCACGTATACAAAGTGATCACATAAAAAATATTAACGTAGATTCAGTGCGGGAGACGTTTTTATGTGTCGAAATCGAATCGAATCGAAACAACAAAAAAAAACCATTTTTGATTCCTACGAGCCGGAATAAAATCGGGGCAATTGGCCCCAATATTTCTGGTAGCGTAGGGAAAACCTAAGTAACTTACTTACCCTTTCGCATTATATTTTTTTACTCTTTATTGACAGCCCTTAGTAACCACGGAAGGTTCGCCGTGACGTAAGAAGGGGAAAAGATGCAAAGTAATATGGACACACGCTCGCAGCGATAAAGCTTTATTTAGGTTGTGTACGCGATTTATCTAATTAATAATAATTACGTAGGCTATTAAAACGTCAGCAAGCAGTAAAAATCAAAGGAGTGCAACTTCTGTACGTAGTACTATTATTTTTCTGTGGTTGAAGTCCGAGAAGGGAAAATGTTTCACGTGACATAAGAAACAGATTGTTATTATAATTACACTATCTGTTGGGAGTTTAATCATAGGCCTATATCCAGCAGGATATATTACACTAAAGCAAAGGTTTAATGTGTTATGTAGTTAATTATAAGAAAAACAATAAGATTGTTACCTGTAACGGGTGGCTGCGGTTTTATAACAGGTCCTTGTGCTGTCTTTGGTATAGAGAACTCCGGGAGCCATTCATTTATTGCTTGTCTAGAAGAAATTTTATGAGTTATATTTTGAACCCGAATTTATGTGCCTAAAAATTGCTACAATTTATGAGTAGACTAATCTAAAATAGTTGATTTAACACTTTTAGACATAATTTCGGCTTATTTTAGTTTGCCTTGTAGAGGTCTATGAGAATACACTACCCCTTACTAACCCGTGAGTGTTCGAAAAGATAAAGACAAAAGACAAAGAGAAAGACATGGGTAGACGAATGTTCCTGATAACAACTAAAAATAACAAAAAGCCGCGAACTCGCCTGAAAGGCGTCACAAACATGGGGAGGCCTATTCTCGAATTCGTTTTTAATGAATTTTATTAGAGAATTTTTGTGATATTAAAATAAACTTTCTTACTTTTTATATGGTAAAGTCTGAATATGAACTTCCAACTGTATTTCCATAACAACAGTTCCTTCAGTATTACATTTTTTTTTAATGGCAATTTTCAAGAATCTTACAAATATATAATAATAAGTGAGCCGATGTGAATAAAACATAAATATATAAATGTGTTCAAATATTGAATTATGTTCACCTTAAGGCCTGACGATGGTGGTACACATGCTTGCCGAGAGTGAGCGGGACCTCGTCTTCACAGACGCCTTGTTCCCCCTCGCGTTCCAATTTGATATCCCAGGATACAGCTTCCACTATAATATGAACTCTTGTTACTACTGTATTAACTATTGTACATAATTTATACATTGATATGTGAAGGGAAACTGTAACCCTTTTCAAACATATTGCACGCAGGAGGAGTGTGAGATTTGGCATGATAAAAGTTTAGTTAAGTTAAACTAAAATTTGTTCCGTTTCGTATGGTGAGTGTAGAGAACCATCTGCATCTTAGTCCTCACGTGTGACAACGCATGCATCTGCATTTTGATTATTAAACAAGGATGGATGTAGATGCAACGGCATCCACTTACCATCAGATGGACTGTGTCGCCTGTCACCCTTATACTATAAAAAAATATATTGTTTCCGTTCATACTACCATTGTCTCAAAGTTTCAGAAAAATATCCTGAGGAAATTCTACGTGTCATTTTTTTATTTTATAAACAGAAATGTAAAAAAAAATCAAAACAAGTTCTTTAGGAAGATTGGGTCAGCACGACGGAAACTACCTTGTCCTTAACCTCTCAGAAATAAAGCGAGGCCTATGCCCAGCAGTGGCACGTATATAGGCTGCAACTAAAAATTGAAGCCACTATTTATATAATAGTAAGGCCGCTGGAGGACTGTCCCGACGGACTGACAAGATGGATGTCTCATCATAGAATACTATAATACATACGTAGTAGAACGGGGGAGTGGACGGAGCCGGCGTAGCCACTAAAATGTCATTAACACGTCAATTCACACGTATAAATGTCAACACGCAAATTATTAAAAAATGTCAAATTGTACCCTATTTAGAAATAAATATGTATTAAAATTTAAACGATTTTTTTAATAATTATCTTGAACATTAATCAAAAGTCTATAATGAGTAAATTTATTCAGTCTGTCAACATAGCAAATCGGGTTAAACCTCGTACAAAATAAAGTTGACAGCCATTCTATTGTGTATTATAGTATTCTATGAGGGAAACTGTAACCCTTTTCAAACACATTGCATGCAGGAGGAGTGTGAGATTTGGTATAATAAGTTTAGTTAAGATAAGCTAAAATTTGTTCTGATTCGTATGGTGAGCGCAGAGACCCGGGACGCTTTTTACTGGAAACGAGGCATTCCATCTTAGTCCTCACGAGTGACAACGCATCTGCCTTTTAATTATTAATCAAGGATGTATGTGCATGCCACAGCATCTACTTACCATCAGGTGGACTGTGTCACGTGTCACCCTTATTCTATAAAAAAAACATATTGTTTCCGTTCATACTACCATTGTCTCAAAGTAAGTTTCAGAAAAATATCCTGAGAAAATTCTACGTGACATTTTTTTATTTTATAAACAGAAATGTCAAAAACATCAAAACAAGTTAGTCAGAAAGATTGGGTCAGCGCGACGGAAACTACCTTGTCCTTAACCTCTTTCAGAAATAAGGCGAGGCCTATTATATTGTACGCGTAAAGTCAAATCACACTTTGCATTATATTTGTAAAAACAGTCTGCAATAAACCATTAGACAGTGAATACGTTGTTTACTTCTCTTAAGTGACATATAAGCAAGTTTGACCTGACCGTATAACATGTTAAAGCACATAGTGGCCTGCATCGAGCCGGTTTTTTATTGAATAGGCGACTGATAACGTCGAGTCGGAGAACAAAAGAGCCTGGACGCTAATACAAAACAAGTTGCATTAAACTTATTAGTGTACAAATAAAGTGAATAACCGTCGTATTATTCAATATTTAACATGGAAACCACGGACCAAATTTTAAGTGAACTTGAAGATTTGCACTGTTGTATTGTTAAAATCCACGAAACTTTAAAAAATGTCCAAAGGCACGTCTAACTAAGGGCTATTTAGAAACAAAAATTAACTGCCTTGATGACTATTGGAACTCGTTTAAGACTGCACATATAAATTTATTAAAATCTGTGCCTAAGGAACAACGAAAACGCTTGGAATATTTTAAAAAAGACGTGTATTATTCGTGTGAAGAAAGTTATATGCAAATAAAAGCGGATATGAAGGACTTATTAGATTCATTACATTCTACGGTTACACAATCAGCCGGCGTTGGTGAAAATAAGACGTTGTAGTGTGAAGTTCCCCAAGTTAAGTTGCCCAGAATACAATTACCATCATTTTCTAACAGTTACGAAGATTGGCCGACGTTTCAAGATTTATTTTTAATGCTTGTTGATAAAAATTAAAACACTCAGTTGTGTTCAAAAACTACATTACTTGAAGTCTAGTGTTACGGGCGATGCGGAAAGTTTATTGAAACATATTCAGGTAACCGAAACTAATTATGCCCAAGCGTGGGATATATTAAAAAAAGCGTTATAGCAATAAACGACTCAGTGACCTCTATTCTAAAACGAATGTTTAACCAAAAAAAATTGCAAAGTCAGTCCGCAAGTCAAATTAAATCTTTACTCGACACTACGACCGAATGTCTTAACAACTTGAAAAATCTTAAACGTTATTACCGAACATTGGGATACAATGGTGATTTATCTGGTCGTAAATAAATTAGATTTGGAATCCCATAAGGAATGGGAAGAATTTGTAAGCAAAGAAATGGACGATGAGTTGCCCACGTTGATGACATTAACAAAATTTATGGAAATGAAATTTCGAACACTTGAGTTGTCAACGCCAGGATCAACAAGGGATAGAACTACAGTGCGCTCATATCCATGTTACAACTACGGAGAGGGTTTGTCCATTGTGCAACGGGAATCATGCTCTATGTCACTGTAAGAATTTTGGTAAAATGGAACCAACAATGAGGAGTGAATTTAACTGTCTAATTCCTGGTCACCCAGTCAAAGCTTGTCGTTCATCCAGCACATGCAGGATTTGTCACAAACGTCATCACTCTCTTCTTCATCATTCGCGAGCTACGAGTCCCCAAGGTGAAAAGCAAAAGGAAACACAACCGAAGGTTTTACATACAAATGTTGAAGAAACAGAAGAACTTCAATGATGACGTCACAAGCTCAAGCAATGAGGAATACAGTTTTATTAGGTACAGCAGTAGTGACCGTACGAAGTGAAGATGGATACACAACTGTATTGAGAGCCCTCATTGACCCGGGATCACAGGGTTGTTTAATGTGAACGTGCAGCTCAATCTTTAAAGGCTAAAAGGTATAAAGTTAAGAAAAACATTATTGGTGTGGGATCTGTAATGTCAAAAATAAATCAAGTAGTTCACGTAGAGGTAATATCACAATATCAAGGCGAATTCAGCCTCAAGGTAAAAGCGTATGTCATATCAAAACAACTCACTACTAAAATCCCCACAAAATCAATTGCGTTTTACGAATGGCCTCATCTCCAAGGACTCAGTTTAGCAGAACCAAATTTTCACAACACGATCTATTGAGTGTAGGAGTAAAGAATATGACAAATCTTGCAGAGTGAGTCATCAAAGGTCCATCGACTAGTTAACAAAAATCACCAGTACAGTATGTATGTAAAAATGTATGGGAAGTAGACCCGACTCCTAGAAGATATACGAAGGATGAAGAGAAATGTGAAGAAATATTTAATAATACCTATTCTAGAAATAGCGAAGGAAGGTATATAGTTCAATTGCCATTTAAAGTAGATAACCCGAAGTCACATAAAGGAAATAGCAGAGAAATTTCAATGAAAAGATTTTTACAGCTAGAACAAAAATTAGATAAAATACCACATCTTAAAGTGAAATATCAGGAGGTCATAAAAGAATATCTTACAATGGGGCACATGGAAAGGATTCCTAAACAAGAAATAACCTAGTGCGCAGTTTATTTGCCTAATCATGCTGTCGTACGCACCGACAAAGAAACAACCAAAATGCGTGTTGTTTTTGACGCTTCATGTAAAAATTCTCAAGGAATATCTCTTAACGATGAGCTCTTAGTCTTAGAAGAACCCGTTTTACAGGAAGATTTAAGAAGTATCATTATGAGATGGCGGATGCACGAAATTTGTTGCGAAAGCGATGTTGAAAAAATTTATAGGATGATATTGTTAAAAAAGGAACATACAGACTTTCAAAGAATTTTGTGGAGAGATGATTCATCAAAATCTAACGAAATAGAGGACCATCCATTTGGTACAGCATCAGCACCATATCTAGCTGTCAAAACCTTATTGCAAATTGCAGATGATGAAACCAAAGACTATCCAAAATGCAGCGAGAATAATACGTGAGGACTTTTATGTAGACGATTTAATGTCCGGGTGTGATACTGTTCAACAAGCCATACAAGTATGTGAACAATTAAAAACTATTCTTAAGAGAGGCGGCTTCAGATTTCAGAAATGGATATCAAATAGTGCTGATTTGTTAAGGTCATTAGAACCAAGTGAAATACCAACAAGAGCTTGCTTGAATATTAAAATCGATGGCACAGTAAAGGCACTCGGCCTGACATGGAATTTAGAGGTGAAGATGATTTTCAATACACAGTGACTTTACCACCTGTTCTAAGGAACGTCACTAAACGTAATATATTATCAGATGTACAAAGAATGTTTGATCATTTAGGATGGATAGCACCGTAATTATCAAGGCTAAAATACTTATTCAAAGGCTATGGTTAGAAGGAGTAAACTGGGATGACAACATAAACGAAGAATTACGGAAAGAGTGGCTGATAATACGTTATGATCTAGACAATGTCAATCAAATGCGAATGAAACGTTGGATTTATACGAAAATAAAGAAACCACATCACTACAAGGTTTCTGTGATGCATCTATAAAGGCAATATCTGCAGTCGTGTATTGTAGAACAGTAGATGAAAACGATATCGTACAGACAAGCATTGTCAACCAAAGCCAGAACCAAGTTGACTCCGGTAAAAACTATTTCTTTGCCTCGTCTTGAGTTATGTGGCGCAACTTTATTAGTTAAACTTCTAAATCACGTGGCTGAAGCGATGAGAATACCTTCCACACAAGTTTTTGCGTGGACCGACTCTTCAGTAGTTTTAGCACGGCTTATTGGCGAACCAAATAGATGGAAGCCATTTGTCGCAAATCGTGTTGTTGAGATAATGGAGAATGCTAAAAATTGCCAATGGTACCACGTGAAAACTCAGGGACAATCCAGCGGATGTTGCGTCAAGAGGTTCCTCTGCTCAAGTTCTCACAAATCAGTTATGGTGGCATGGATCACCATGGTTGTTACAGAAAGAAATAATACTTTCAAGACCTAACATACTTTCAACACAATTGGATAAAAAATTAATTAAAATAAATTTAAATGTTACAGAAATAAAAAATGACCATACAAACCAGTTTTTGAACTTTGAGTGTTTTGACTCATTTGAAGAACTTCTTAAGATAATTGTATATATTGACGATTTTTAAATTTCAAAAGGCGAGAGTACAATGAAAACGGCATTACAACTGAAGAATTACAAGCCGTTAAATTTATGTATAAAGAAGGCACAAGTGGAGGATTTTCATGATGAAATAAAAACAATTACTGATCATAAATATGTTCGGAGAAATAGTCGCTTAAAATCTCTAAATCCATTTCTTGATGAAGAAAGAATTCTTAGAGTAGGAGGAAGACTACGGCATGCAAATACTAGTGAAGGGAGTAAATTTCCAATTATTTTAGACGCTAAATCTTCACTGACAGCACTCATTGTAGCTGACGCTCATAAGAAGACGCTGCACGGTGGAGTACAATTAATGTTGTCATACTTAAGAACAAAGACTGGATTATAAGGGCGAAAGGTGTAATAAAATCTCATATTTCTAAATGTTTTATTTGTGCTAAAATTAGAGCCAAGGCAAAAGGACAAATAATGGGTGATCTACCCACTGAACGAGTTAACCCGTCACGCCCATTCTTACAAAGTGGTTTGCCGTAGACTTTGCCAGGCCAATCCAAATACTTATGTCAAAGGGGAGAGGTATACGAACAAGTAAAGCTTACATAGCTATTTTTATATGTATGTCTATTAAAGCCATCCATCTTGAACTTGTAAGCGATTTAACTTCAGAAGCTTTTATTGGGGCTTTTAGGCGTTTTGTATCACGGAGAGGACGTTGCGCTCACTTGTGGAGTGACCAAGGCAGAACTTTCATAGCAGCAAACAGAGAATTGTCGGAAGATTTGAATGAGGCTAATTTAAATATAAAAAATCAAATTACAAGCGCCTTGGCTTTGGAAGGCACCCAGTGGCACTTCATTCCAACCTTATAGCCCTAATTTTGGTGGTTTATGGGAAGCGGGGGTTAAATCCATGAAAGGACATTTGAAGAGAGTCCTGACGAAGAATTTAACATATGAAGAGATGTCTACTCTTTTGTGCCAGATTGAAGCGTGTCTAAATTCTCGGCCCTTAACACCTATTGATCAATCTGATGTAGACAATATAAGCCCTTTAACACCAGGCCATTTTTTGATCGGTGAAGCTCCTATTTCTGTCCCAGCTCCAGACTTATGTGACGCAAAAATTAGCCTACAAGCACGTTGGCGATACACTCAAAAACTCTTAGGTGACTTTTGGCATCGATGGCAGCATGAGTATCTTCACAAGGTTGCAACAAAGACCAAAGTGGCTTAAAAAGGAACGGAAATTTGCTATTAATTAAATTGTTCTCATTAAGCAAGATAAACCGCCGCCTGGAAAGTGGATGCTGGGTCGCATACTTGCCAAACATCCTGGATTAGATAGATGGAGTCACAAGAGTTTACAGTCTAAAGTGCGGTGATAGTGTTATTAAAAGAAGTGTGTGATTCTGGAGCCTCTGGAGGCGAAACACGTGTCGTATTATCATCGATGGTGTGTCTTGCCTGGAATAGTGGTGTTGAGAGTAGTGGTGCTTGGTCTAGTGGTGACGGAGTTAGTGTATGCAATTGAGGGAGGGCGGGAGGTGCGCTTCAATCCAGGTAAGACACATCATTTTATATGTTTAGCGGAAAGTTGCAAAGAAATTTATATTTTTATTTTTTATTAGATGTGTCGTAATTTCCCGAACGCTGCCCAGCTGAATTGAATCCGTCGATTGACCTCTCGGTCGAAGTAGGACTTACCTAGTCGGACTATTTGTCCCAGGTAAACGTACTCGTCAACAACTTCGAGCATAATGCTCCCAACAATTACCGGCATAGGTGTGACATGGACATTAAACATGATCTTTGTTTTGGCGCTTATTTAGAAAAAGATTATTTTGTGTGATTCGTCTCATACACCCGTGTGTTCCTAGATAGTTTTTTTTTTAAAATAAATACGACTGATTTTTGTCGCCAAATTGTAAGTCCATAATTTTTTCTTACTCAAGCTATCGATAGGGGTATCCAAATAAAGGAAATTAAAAGGAGATTACTGAAGTATATATGAGTTATACCTATGTTTTCAGTTCATTACTTTTAACCAGTCGTTTTATAATGTAACTATCTATTATTAATGTTACAATTATTTTCCGGGAATTACTAAACAAGAAATACTAATTAACGAATTTTTGTTTGTTTGTTAGACAATAAATTAGACTCAGTCATAATACTCGCACTGATTAAATTATAATAAATGCAAAAGTTTGAATGTTTGTTTATTGCTCAATCACGCCAAAAGTATCAGACCAGTTTGAATATAATAATTTGGCACGCAAATAGTTTATTACCTAAATTATAGGATACTTTTTATCCCGATTTAGAGGTCCCGAGGAATAGAATAAGACATTTCGTAATAATCGAATTCCACGAGAGAAACACTCCCCACAAAGCCCCCCAAAACGAAAAGTTTCGAATATACTCATAAGCTAAAAAGGTACGCCGATATTTTGTTACATTCCTACAACTAACGATCTTTATGTCATTTTTCTCTAGTCAAAGGTTCAAATAGTTTGCTATCACTCGACGCCATATTATGGCGTTTGACAGATGTGCATATTATTTGAGACGCCATAATATGGCGTTTGGACAGACGAGGGGATAAGAGATAAAAAAAATAGTAAATAAAATCAACAAGCATTGATCATGACCTATATGTGGTGAGTCTGCTTGGCCAGTACGAGGCCGCCAGATTATGAGGAATTATTTGACCTTCTCGAGAATATATAATAACTTACTGTGCGTAGGCGCGTCGAGACTGCAGCTCGCCCAATGAGCCAGAGTCCATATCGGGATCATATTCGCGTTGTATTCGCAGTTGGGGTTGGTCAGCACACCTCGAAGCAGCGGAATCAATTCCGGCGATCGCCCGCAATAAGGCCCTGGGAACAGGAATTGTGAGCACAATCTTTTAAAGTCATTTTTAGAAAGTGAAGACCGCTACCACATTGCTTCAAGAAGTCTAGGTAGCCTGGCTACCTTCAGTTTTTGAATATAAATTTATGGTCCGATTTACGCAAAACGAGCTTTAATATCATGAAGTCTTGCAGTGGTATTTTTGGGTTTGGGTTTAATTTTGTTAATTATAGGATCCCAAGCAGATGGCAGCACCCATCCATCTTCTCTATATGCCAATTTCATATGTATAGACCTATTATTAGTACCATATTACCTGTCTAGTAGTACATAGAAGTCTTTGGTGTGGAGCAAGAAATTTTGTAAACAAGTGGGATTAGCCAATTGATTTTTTACAACCGTTAACCCTAATAGAAAACTATAAAATGAAATATTAATGGGAATGACATATATCTTAACGCTATGTGACTTAACACTGATTCCATACAATTATATAATTTTCTAGTGGAGTTAACCATTGTAGAAAGTCACCTTGGTTAACGCCAAAGGTATGTTAACCACTCAGCCAGATGAAATACAATAACTTTTTGATGTAGTCCACTGTTGGACATAGAAACATCCAAGAAAGCACAGGTTGGCATGCATTACTTAAGTTACTCAGAATACTACATTTGCCTGGCAAGTTGGTAAACGCAGAGACATTACCACCACACTGGTAATGCTATTTATCCATAGTCAATTATTCCATGTGTATGTTAATTTATGGTTAAAATGTATCAAAATATAAATAGATTCCAAAATTGTAAACTGTTACTGTTTTGACCATTTTAATCGTTAGACAAAGTCATTCTCTAACAATTAAAATGGTCAAAACAGTAAATAAATAACTAACCAACTGCATAAATAGTAAGACTACTTTCACAACTATGACACATCTTACAACACTGTATATGTCCACATCCATAAAGCTGTTTCGGCTACAGAATATGCCAAGGAAATAAAATATACATACACGTGAAAAACATTACCCTCTTTATGTGGCAGTTGGGTAAAAGTTACACATAATGTAAGACAAAAATATCTTATTACTCACCTAAAAAGATCCTTTTCTGGTCATAATCATTCGCATGCAAATTGTCCCAGATGACTGGTGGTCGTCTAAGTACCTGAGTGATTTCTTCTATACATTCTGTTGTCAATGTCTTCGATATAACTTTAGGACCTGTGAATACGAAATTGATAGAACTGTTTAAAAACACATTTAAACTCTGTGGACATTATGGCCACAAAATTTGTGACCTCGGCAATCCTTCTTAAATACATGGTGGAGACATACTGCAGCTATATTATAGTTGTGGCACAAATAGGTCGTGTCAAAAAAGATAGGACGACACTTTCACAGAATACCGACGAAAAATTTTAACAATTATTATGGCTGAAAACGAAGCATTCAAGCATAGTCCTCAGGGATGACAATGCATCTACATTTTGGTTTCTAATCGAGGACAGCCATACATATCCCTGGGCCACAGCACCCATACACCTTCAGGTGCACTGTGTGCTCATTTATCACCTTTATTATATAAAAATATTGGGAGACACTCATATGTTCATTGACATTAACGAAGATATTATCTCTGCACTTAATGCATTTATCGAAAGATAACCAGTAGCTTAGCTGTGTAATATTCACGTATATTTTCCAATCTTAATGAAACCCACCTGTTTTTTCCCTTTTTATATATAATATAAAATAATAGTGACAAACGAACACAAAGTTTGCATGATGGTAAGTGGTTGCTGTGCATAAATAAAGACGCCTACGTCTATTATCAATTAAAAATCAAAATGAAAATGCGTAGTCACATCTGAGGTTAAAGATGAAATGCCTCTTTACCTGTAAAGGGTCTCTGTTTCTCCTCACTCACCATATGATAAACAGCCAACATTATGGTGCTATTTCAGCAGCATATTGTTGCAGTATCTTTCGGATAACAACTGTGGTTATGTTAAGTGAGGCAACAGAAAGGATGAGAAAAGCTTTTGTTCACGATCAGAAAAATTACTAGATTTTTAGGTTTAGAAATCTTTTGACCGCGAACAATTATATTCAGAGAGAAGACTGAAACAATAACAATTTACATAATTGTTATTTTGTATATATATTTATATAGTATTATAATTATATAGTATATTTCTGTGTATTTAAATATATTATAAAGATATTTTAATTAAGGGGATTCCACTTAATTAAAATATCTTTCTTAGCTCAAATTCTAATTTCGTCCCCACTTGCCCGCGCGTCGTATGCTATGTACCGACATGTTTGTAATCGCTAATACTGTAAGTAGATAGTATATAGTTCAGTTTGGAGGTAAATTTAGATTTTTTCTATCGAGAAAATTTTACGGAATAGTGTTTTCGTCTAACATAGTACTTAACATTAATCCTCAACTTTACCATATATTTATTTCAAAATTAATGCTGCAATATTTTCGGCATAACGGAGGATCTTGCTAAGCCATTTGAGGTAGTATTTTTTCTATTTCCCCTTAGGAAGTAATGCAAGATGCAAAAAATCGGTTACTGGGAGCGAATTTGCCTGCCAAGTTGTAGCAATTAAGTTAAATTGTCCTTACTATCAAAGAGGTATGACACTACAGATCCTAGTCTTTCAGACACTCTTATCTATTAAATACACGAAGAAAATTAAAACAAAATCTATAGAGTTTAGTCATGACCCTCCTAAATAGAATAACAATGGAAACATTTACACATTGACGTCAACCAAACAAGCAATCAAATTTTAACCTTGAATGGGTCATTATCACGTTAGTTCACAAGCTGTGACTGTGACCTTGTGAAATACAAGCATTCAGAGATGCCAGGATAGAATTTAAAGCAAAGGATACCAAGTGTTTGATGTCTTTCAACAATTTGATGAATAATTTCCATAGTATTACTTTAGTATAACTGATTTTGTTTCAGTTAGGATATGCTAAGGTAAATGAAATATTACTTAGCCATTTTATTTGAAGAAATATGGATTTTGGAATGAATTTCCTTTAATCGTTATAATTGTTGTGCCAGCTCAGGGGTTAGCACTCGCGCACAATACACGAGAAACCGGGGTTTGTTTCTTGTCGGCACCTAATTGTAACTTTAAGGGCTGATTTACCACATGCTTAGTGGTGAAGGAAAACATTGTCAGGAAACAGGCATGTCTGAGAAATTACAAAAAATATTTCGAAGGCATGTGAAGTTCGCTAATACTCATAGGGGCAACGCGACAGACATTCAATCATCATCATCATTACAGCCCTTCACAAGTCCACTGCCGAACATATGCCTCCCCCAAGTAATGCCACAAAGCACTGTCCTGAGCCACCTGCATCCATCGACTTCCCGCATGTCTTACCAGGTAAACACTCCATCTAGGGGTGGGTCACCCTACACTACACCTACCGGTATGAAGCTGCCCTTCGAGAACCTTTTTTTCCCATCGGTTGTCGGTTCTTCGAGCTATATGGCCAGCCCATTGCCACTTCAGCTTACTAATCCATTGGGCTATGTCGGTCACTCTGATTCCTATACTATTGATATCCTCATTTCTAAGTTTATCGCGCAGAGAAACCCCGAGCATTGCCCTCTCCATAGCTCGCTGAGCAACCGTTATGTTAGTTTAGCAGTGAATATTTTTTAACCATTAAAAGGCTGTGCTTTAACTACTATCTCGCCAGTTGGTAAGTGTGGGGAAAGCCAAAGATAGGAAAGTGAACTGACTTAGCATAAAGAAGCCTATTCACTCTTGCCTTGAGCATATCAACATTGTAATCGAATGGAAAGAAAGGTGCTGGAAAAAATATTGCTCTCTCTTTCTGTACAAACTTAAAATGATGTTAAAAAAGATCTCAGAAAACTCACCTGTCCACATAATGTCAATCTGCTGTGATAGCTTACTGCCAAGGGTTATAAGATACTCAGAACTATTGACGGTTGGTACAGCCCTAGTAGAACAATACTGAGTTGGGCACAGCAGGAAACGTGGGCATCCCAGATGTTGATGGATTTCATTAGTTATGGATACCTAAAAAATCATAACATACTGCAAGTTAATGACTATTGTAATTCAGAGCACACCACAGCCACAATACACTGCAGTGTTTTATGGCTGCATCTAGAATGGGTTGGCTTGATTGGGGAGCAGGGAAAGTTCACTCTCCTACAGTACACCAGTGTGTAATACACAGTATGCAACATAATACTCCATTCCATGAGTAAGAGGAACTGGAAACGCTTTAAATTAGTAAAGAGGAATTCCATCTTCGTTTTGATAACATATCTGAATTTAAATTTTAAGTGAAGATCCATAAACGGAAAATTTGCTTAGATTATCCAAAGTCTATTTAATCTTGTTTAAAGTAAAAAAAAAAATCAGCGCATTGCAGCTGCAGAAGAAATGATCATAGAAGTATCATTTTCAATATTGTTTAATTGGGAAAAATAATACATTCATTGAATGATATATAACCTTCAAATAAATTTGTCGTTAGGATACGCATGCCACAAACTGTAAGTTAATTGTACTATGCCTATAACCTTTATGGAAGTGCATGTAATAAGTTGACAAAGTTTTACCACAATCTGACTGATGAATGGTATAGCAGCACATAAAATACGAACAAACAAATATTAATTTTTATATATTAGATAGATAACATTGCAACCAACACAGTCTTATAATATGTAAAATTTCAAACAGTTAGTATGACTGGATTAAGATTAGGTTAAGGTTGAATTTTTAAAATATATTATGCAAAATCTCATTAATCATTATCATTAACATCAACTCATACATATCCAATGCTAGGCATGGGTCTCACATTGTATGGAAGATTTGTCTTAATTGTCTCACCTTTAACACTGTACTCTGACTTTTTCATCTTTTTTACTGCTAAATTACTACATTCACAAAAATAATTCTTACTTGCGCATGTGCAAAACTCTGGAAGATCTGTTTGTCTGCCTCACTCATCTCTGGTTCAATGTCATCAAACAGTAGTGCAAAACAGGTGCATCCAAATTGGGACACCTGTAAAACATATTTAGACACTATTTTAAGAATAAAGATATTTCTAGTACACGGTGACTTAAAACCACATTTAAGTCACGCTCATGCAGGACTTAACTAGTCGATTATTGAATGGTATGTTTTACGTCACGCTTAAAATTTATATTTTATAATTTTTAAATTCAAATTAAAATTCTTTATTTGCAACTAAATAGGTACAAAACAACTAAATAACAAAAAATGTTATACTGTTATTTGTTAAGAAAACATGTGTTTTCAACAGCATGCAAATATTCAAAAGTTTTTATAATAAAATCAATAACTAAATTTCATCTATATTAACAAACTAAAAATCATTTTACAATCTTTACAAATAAATAAATTCATATATATAAATTAATTAATTAATGCATCGATTTTTAATTAACGATAAAACTACTTAGTCACTACAATTCAAAAACTCATTTACTATATAAAATGCTTTCTACTAGCCATCGTCGAAGTGACATTTTAAACTTATTATAAGGTAATTGCTCAATATGTGAGGGTATTTTGTTATATATCGTGTTACACATTGCATAGCTATTTTTTTGAAAGCGCTTACTTTTTGGAATTGTGTCAAATACTAATTTATGTGGGTTCCGTAAATTTATTTTTGTTGCACCTTTATTTGTAGGAATAAGTGCTTGTTTTGCATTACTAATTTGCCTACCTCAAATATAGAGGCAGGGAAAAGGAAGTATGTTTAAACTCTTAAAGTAAGGCTTGCATGATGTGTCTGATGGGATGTTACTAATAGCTCTAATCTAATACAGAGTTTTTGTGCTAAAAATACTTTTTGAGAGTATACATTAAAAGTCCGTATCTGATAACAGATTCTACATATGCGAAATACGCTGTGACCGCTGTATTTTTGTTTGCTATTTTTGTCAATTTATGTAATGCGTACACAAATCTGTTAATTTTGTTACACACTTTATGTATATGTTCTTTCCAATTCAGGTTCGAGTCTATAATTAAACCTAAAAATGACGTACTAGTAGCGTTCTGCAGAAGTTGTGAAAAGATTTAAACAATTATTAAAACATAACTCGTTTCGCTCATGCGCTAACTTCACATGGTTCAATAATCGGCTACTTGTCCCTTGTATTGTAATGCACTATTATGTGTTCATCAGCATTGTTTTGTTCAAAGTAATCTACTAATACACAAATACACAAATAAATAAAGATGTCGGCCTATAATATCAAAATAACTGTCTTTCATTAAGTTCAAGAGGTCATTTGCATGCTGTTTGCATTTATGTTTATTGCAAGTTTTTCTTTGTATCTAATCTTCGAAATGACTGAACAGATTTAAATGTAACTTTGCAAACAGATGAGAGTAGTGCTAGGATTGGTCTATACAACATGTAACATAATTAACGCACTTTGAGAAAGTAGTTTGTTCAGAATCGTTTACTGAATCGATTCTTATCATTTTTAATGTAAAAATAATTATAAATAATTAAAACTAGGTAAATTACAGTCACACTAAATCTGTACAGTCAAAACAATCTGAAATGGACCGTAACTTAAGGCAATAAGACTTTGAAGAGTGCAGTTTTATTTGTATTATTACTAATTCTGTCATTCAATAAAAATAAAGAAAAATGAACTTTATTTCAAGCATGTTAAAGTCTTTGCGTTTGTGGATTTGTACTGTGACCACAACATTCTTCCGGAATTAGTATAACTAATTTGATAAATAATCAGTGCATAAAAATGTTTAACTAAAAATTCAGTGTATGCATTATGATTATAACATAATATACTAATTGGGGTGTCTGAGGGTATGCATTAATTATGTTACATATTGTATATGGTGATTGGTATATGGTATATTTAACACTTTAACAGCCGATCATGTATTGGGTACGTGGCGCCGCTCTTTCCTCAGGACGCCGATGAGATACCGAGTATGTGATCAACTTTCATATAGTTTTGTTTAAAATCACGCACTGAGTAAGTCATCGGCGCGTAACCTTTGCCGAGGGTGTTTCTTTAGCTACATATGATGCATGTCATTTATCGAAATGCGGGGCGGGGTATAGGCGTGCGGAATGGTTATATCGACTGCGCTGCGGTACCATTGCTACGCCGAGCTCCGAAAAAATAAAAAGTGGTAAGAGTGTGTAAAATTTATGCTAACATATCAAAGAAAGAAAATGGGAAATGTGGACGAAAAGAAACGGTTTTTTATAAAAAAAATATCACACAATTACAAATTACGCTATATGTAATATGTTTATGTTAAAGTTTTGGTTTTCTTTTTATTTCCGGTTTGGTCTCCGGATCTCTACACTCACCGTATAAGACACATTTGGATAGACAACCCCCCTTCTTACCCTTTTATGCCACTAAATAGCAATGTCTGCACTACTGTGCTTCAGTCTGAAGGGTTAAGAATGACAATATAATTTCAAGCTGTAAGGCACTACATCTTAGTCTTCAGAGGTGACAATACATCTGTAGCCTACTTCGTTTAAAGTTGGCTGTAGGTGATAATGAACTCCAGTAGCCACTTACCATCAGGTAGACGGGCATTTCATTTGTAATTTCAGTTTTATTAAAAAAAATTATCTCATAAGCTATAAGAAATAATTTATTACTTCAACACCATTTGACCACAAAACTATGAGTGTTAAAAGTAAAGCCTGTCACCCAAAAGAGTAGGTAGAGACTATGGACTTAATTAAGGTTACATTCATGGGGCAATAAAAGAATACAAGAACTAAAAAAAAATTGGTTTCTGGTCCGTGCTTGCAACACACATAATGAACGATATAACCATATTGACATATTTAACTGCAAACTAAGTGGTTATATTTCGTCTATTAAGCAAGTTGATCACGCTTAAGCGCAGTGTGTACCTCTTGTTCTCTCTGAATATAAAATTACCTTTACTAACATTGCTATTAGGCATGCATTAAGTATGTTTTTCTCTTTGAAAAACACAAATATGTACTTCATTTAAGTATGTCTAAAGTTTTCGAAAAGTAATTCTTATCGTTGGAAACTGTTCTGGCTAATGTATTGTTAATATTCACCTTACATTCAAATGTAATGTAAGAGCTGTAAGTTTCTTTGAATAAATAAATAAATAAAATATTTAAAAAAAAATCTTAACAATCTACATAAACACAGTGTTGTCAAGAAGATGCTGCTGATAAGATAAGCAGATAAATAAGATAGCAGCAGCTTCCTGATAATACTTAGTAATAAATACCATTTCTCAGGTCAGTTAGCTATGACCTGATTTATTTCCATATCTCAGCTCTTACAACATCTATGGGATGAAATGGATAATGTATCTCATAATAAGTTTAAGGTGATATGGGTGCCAAAAGCAGATTGTTCATGCTTTAAAAGTGCAATTTTTTGTCATTAAAAACTACGAATTCACATTTTATTTTAAATTCATTATGAAAGTTAAAGATTGTTCGTAGTGAATTATGAAAAAGATCGCAGTTTCTTCAAAATCTACAATTACTACTACTACTACTAAGTGAAAAAGCAGTTTCATTCGAATTTAATGAAATCAATTTCAATTAAATTCATACTATGTGTTCACCAGTTAATATGTGAGTGAATTATGGATTTATTTTTCAATAAAAGAGTATATAAAATTTTAAAAAGAAATGTCAAATAAATATTGTGAGATAAAATAGCGCGCGGACCGACCAAACAGTCCATATAAAGCGTGAAAAATCTGCTTTTGGCGCCCACTTCACCTTAAAAAATGTCCTGTATTGTGCTCACAACAATAAGGAACATTATTGATTTAATGAATTATTTGAATACCTGTTCTAGCTTTCTCTTCAAAATTGTAATCTCCTTTTGACTGCTGTAAGTAATATCAAGGCCCGGAGAGAGTGCATAACAGAAAGTGATGCCTTGCAACTTGGCAGCAGCTATCAGAGATGTAAGATGCTCTGCCTCTTCTACTGTATACAATTCACGCCAGTAAGCTCTATGCTTGTAGTCATCTTTTGGTGCATAAACATAAATATCCATTCCCCATTTCTTTAACCTATAAGTAACTACATTATTAACACTACTCAACAATTTGTTTGTCACTAGAATCTAGACTACATGTAAACATTTATTATCTCGATAAATCAAAAATAAATTAAATACAAATAAAAAATATATAGAATACAATATTTTGGGTAACCTACAAGGGAAATATGCATGTGATATTAAATATTTGGAACTGTAGAAAATAATACAATATAGGTAAACAAATAAAAAAATAAATTTTACACATATAATTAACTAATAACCTCTTATAAATATTATTCTTTTTTTTCAAAAATACACCATATAAAGTGTTATAAAAGGTCAATCCCAAAAAAGGTAAATCTGTCTGATGCCAACTCAATAATATTAAAAAACATAATTGCCAACCTGCTTACCATGCGTGGCCACTATGGCAAATATTCCCCCAACAAAACAACCTCTGGGGAAGACCCATTTTCAGCAATAGACTTTCAATAGGCTGTGTAAAGATAAAAATAGTAAAACCACCTTTAGTATTTTTTCTAATATAGAGGTGTTTGTTGATAATGTTATAATTAGGTGAATCTGAAATTAACTCGTATACAAGTTAAATTGACTCAAGATGTTTCACCTTATTTAAACTGGCTCTCTACTAAAGTAGCATTGATTTATATAGAATTCTGAATGAAAGGAAAAAAAATATCATTTAAAAATTCATATAAAATATTTTGTACTAAAGGGGGTTGTATTTTCATAAAAGATATAAATAAAAATCACCAGAGTTAAAATACTTATAGCAGCTTTTCACAATTATACCTATACTTACTTTTGAAATAAGTCTTTTCTTTGTTCGGTGGTCCACGGTCGGCCGTAAAAGCCTGCAATACATAAGCTTAGGTCATTCACACTATCGTAGTCCAAACACATTTATGTGTAACTGTGAGACCATTAAAGAACTATTTGTTATCAAAAAAAAAATATTACCTTCGACTACACCGCAAATAAAATCTTTACGTTTAGGGTTTGAGTCGTCTGGTGAACTTTCAGACATTCTAAAAGTAGATTGAATAATTCACTACACAAGCACTTATAAAAGTACTCCAACTTTCGATAAATTTTCGCCGAATAACGAATGGAACTAATAAACTAATACGGAATCGGAAAACTCAATTGTGATATGAATTGTAATTTGTAATGAATCTGTGCGTCTGTGGCTGTGGCTGTAGATGTGTCAAACTCAATAATTACCATAAACCATAAGACTTTTTGCGGTGGTCATGGTCGAATGGACTCGTCCGATTGTATTTTTGCCAGTAACAAGAAATATGAAATAATTCTTACATAATAAATTGTTTAACCCATTCATTGCCACTTAAATTTTATAAACATCACCTGGGTGCCACTTAATATTTTTGTGGATTACAGAAGAAAAGGCGTAATTAAATGTGTTCTTTAATCACAAAAATCCCATAAATAACAAAAACCCATCTAAAAATGGTAAACGCACCATACATGGTGGTGGCACTGGTAAGAGAAATTTAATCACTAGTGCCATTCAACATGCCGTTTGCGTTGACGCTTGGATAGTATTATGTAACATGTTCTGAGAGACTGATGCTGGATATGTCAATATGCTGCTTTATTTATATAATCTATGTTTGTTTATAAATAGGTATAAGTCCTTGTTTTACACACATAATATTATTTTGTTCTGTCCTAAGTTTTTGTATCTTACGTATTTATAACTACTTAGTAACTTGAAACTTGCGGTGTATACCTATTGTTGGTGTACTTAATTAAATAAATAATTTAGTATCAGAATTATTTAACATCTTTGCTCCTTATCTGATTAATGTATACCTATCCACTTTGTATATTGTTACATTTACGGCACCCAATAAAAACCTCTCTGGATGACCTTTGAGTGGGTTGATTATTTTAATATACATAGGTTCGTAAACAATAAAAGTGAGAGAAACCCATGAACATAATCATTTATTTTTAAAAATAAAAAAAAATTACAATTAATAGTTGTGGTACCCTTTGTAACAATTATATTTTAATAATTAAAATCTATCATATAAATCTTCACATAAATAATAATTATCTTTAAACAACTAATTTATATTTTTCACGTACCTACTTTTTAAATATAAAATAAAAAAAATATACCTATGGATTTTCTCTATTTTTCTACCTATGACCTATGGCCTTGGATACTATAAATGCTACTGCGGAAATAATACAAATAAGTTTCTCTCTGTGGATTCATAATTTAAACCTTATAAAATACGTAAAATGTGACTGCCAGTTTATAAAATATTTAGTAATTAAATACATTACGAATAGTAAATTTAACTTTATGAGTGTAAAAAATATAAAAAAATACGAGAAACGCATAAATGAAGTGATTTGTTCCTTGTGCATCATGAATAAAACTATCCAATAAAGTTTTTTACTGCTATGCCAACGAACGAACCGTATGCGTGCATGTGACTTTATTTTTCAAAAACACGATGAAACAAGGGAAAAGAAAGAAAAAAATTAAGAATACTGATTACTTTTATCTCATAATTTACTAATATATAATGAACACTCGTTAAAACTCAAGTTATTTTAAATTCAAAATGTACGTTATTAGTACCAATCTTTTTTTACATTTAAAAATTATTTCTAATAGTTAATGTTGCCATAGATTAAAATAAATTTCTACCGTTTTTATTTAATGCATAAAATAACCTCAAGAAGTCACTCAACATTTACGGTGCGTTGGTGGCATGACGTAGTAATCTCGATCAACGCAAATGGTGCGTTGGTGGCAATGAATGGGTTAAAAACCCCCACAATAATCTAGTGAATTCTTTCAAACTTCGATATACCGTTCATAAACATGGTTCTTCATGAGCGACGTTTTATGAACGATGTTTTGGCTTACCGTTAAAGGTTACGAAATAACCAACTATTAGAAGATATAAAATTCCGTATGTTAAAAGTTGCGAACGATGATTATCACGAATTTTATGTTACCGAAAAATAAATATTATAAAAAACCATGTCAAAGTTAGAAAAGGTCTAAATTTTTAAAGTTAGAAGGTATTTAGCAGAAATAAATCCCGAAAATTTTAATTACGAATTAACAAACAGACGAATGGTCTTTCAGCCGAAAATAAATATATAATATATGTATTTCAGAAGTGCAATTGTCTTTAATCGGTAATTCATTAATATATATAATATTAATATAGATAATTAATTAATAAGTTTACAAATATGGAAAATGAATTGAAATTGTTTTATTCATTTTCTTATTAATAACTATATTGTTTGAGCTTTAATCTAATAAATAGCTTAAGTTAGTTAGTCTTAGTCTTATAAGGTAATAGTTATTTTGTAAAGGAAATCATTTTATCGGCTTACGGTACTTCGTATTTCGTTACAATCATTTTTCTGAAATATTGATTTTTATGATTATTCACCTGTTTGAATTTCGGTATAGTTTCTTAGATATATACAGAAAATGCGATAATACTGAAGGTAACATATGGAAATACCATAGAAAATTAACGCAGATCATAAGAAATAAAACTAAAGCAGAAGACGAGCTTTATATATTACATGTGGGATGGCATGAAAGGGTTATTTCCCGAGTTTCATAGCCTAGATAAGATCTATTTGCCTATCGTGGTAACTTCGGTATTCCGTGAGCAGTTATTTTCAGAGGCTGGATCAACAATCACCCAGGAGAGAAACGACTTAATCATTTTTAATTAAATTCAATCCGAAAGAAATAAACTTAAAAGTAAAAAAAATCGAATTAATTCTTGTTTTCTGATAATTATTTGATAAAATTAAATGTGTAAAAATAAATAGTCTTAAACTTCCTATAATAACATAAATATAATGTTTGATTATTATAATTTTTTGTTTCATATCTGTTCGAAATGATTATTTATTTCATATATATGTATGTACATAAGCTTCGATGCTTTTAATGAGTGATGTTGCATCCTATAGATGTACTTACTCGGAAAAGTTACGACTAGAGTTAACTCGAGTTGAAATTCACACAACTCGAACTAAACCTGAGTTACGAAATTAGAGTTAGCAGGATGAAACACAGTATATTTGTTACATTAACTTCAAAAATAACGATATATATATATATATATATATATATATATATATATATATATATATATATATATATATATACGATAATTGATAGAATCAGGCGTTACTTTGCGGAAATCCATTATAATAAAAAATAAATTACTTCGCAACCTTCCGCTAACTAAATACAATGATGTGTCTTACCTGGATTGAAGAGAACCTCCCGCAATCCCACAATTGCGTGCACTAACTCAGTCACTACTATTCCAGTTATGACACACCATCGACGACAATACGACACGTGTTTCGCCTCTACACGAAGCATCCTCAGGTGATGTAGACTCTACGGTTACTGACCGCTAAGTGAGCGGCGAACGTTGATGTCTTCTTCATGTGCATATGCACATGGAGGTTTCGGGCCTCGGGGTAAGCCCCCATTACCCGTGCTGTCCTCGCGGTCCACCACTATGGACCGGTCCTGGGAGCCTACTATTGGCGTTATAGGTGTCAAAATTCGGATTGTCCGTAATCGGTAAAATTTTTTCGTAGCCGGTTAAGACTACGAAAAAGAAGGTTATCCAGTAAAGTCAGGGTTGGCCTTTCAGCGGCATTGAGGGTTGTTACTCGACTCTCTAATCAATATAGAGAGGAGTTCTCTTGGATAGGGTCACCCGTCCGGGGGGGCGAGTGTGTAGCGGCGCAAAGTTGTTAAGGTGTATATGCGGCCCGTTGTCTGCACGGTCGAACAGTCCGCGCGCCAACCGGGCCACAAATTCCTGTATGGTGTCTATCTTCAGGTTGGCCGCTATGACGTCATTCCGGACGTAGCGACCCGCACCGACGATGGTTCTTAACGCCATATTTTGCTGGGCCTGCAGTCGCCGCCTCAGAGGCTCGCTCAGAAGCGCGTACCAGGCCGGAGCAGCATAGGTGATAATGGCTCTGATGTAGGTTTTATATACTCGCACTTTGGTGTTAAGTGGTAGCTTGGATGCCAGGACCGGACGTAGCATCGCCCGCGCACATCGTGCTCTACGGACGACGAGGTCGACGTGCGCAGTCATGCGCAGCGCCCGGTCGATCCGGCACCCAAGGTAGGTCACAGCCTTCTCGTACGCGATCTTCTGGCCGTTGAGGGGTAATGGAGGTGGTAGGTTCCTGAGGCGGCGAGTGAGCAGAGCGGTCGTCTTACCAACGTTGACGACCATCCTCCACTCATCTAGCCATGGTGGCAACAGGTCCAGGAGGCGTTGCATCCTGGCAGCGGCAATATGGGCTCTTCTGGAAGAGGTGAAATAAGCGCTATCGTCCGCATATAACGCCAATTCCACGTCGTCCTCCCATTCTTGCAGCCTGCCTGCCAGGGTAGGGATGTTGTTGGTATAAGCCGCGTACAGGACTGGAGACAAACAGCTGCCCTGAGGAACGCCGGCTCTGATGGTTCTGGTTGCGGACTCGGCGCCCTCTACGCAGACGTAGAACTTCCTGTCTGCCAGGAAAGACGCCACTAGCCGCAACATAGCAGGAGGGACACTGGTCTGTTCTTCCAATTTAAAAAGTAATCCAGAATGCCACACCCTGTCGAACGCCTTCTCGATATCGAGAAAGACGCCCAACGTGGTGCGGCCACGGTTGTAATCGGCCGCAAGCAGGTGCAGCACTCTGGTCAGCTGTGTTGCTGTAGAGTGACCCCTCCTGAATCCGTGCTGCTCCGCCCGAAGTTGGATGCACGGGCGGAGGCGTCTTAGCAACAATCTTTCAAGCAGTTTAGCTATGTGTGGTAGCAGCGTGATCGGCCTGTAGCTGGCAGCTCTACGCCTGTCCTTCCCGGGTTTCGGCAAGACGATAACTTTGCCTTTCTTCCAGTCCTCCGGGAAGTGGGATGTCCGCAGGATCCCATTGTAGAGTCGACCAAGCTCTACTAGGACTCTATGGGGCAGC